TTATTGTTTTATTCATCAGCTTCCATTAGCCTGGATTGTTAGTACCTTTCTACACGGTAACTACGGCAACGCTGCAGTGTGGATCTCACTCATCATTGGTCAGCCATTCGCCGTCTTGATGTACGTCCACGACTATTACGTCCTGAACTACAGACAGGAGACTGACACACACACACAAATATAAAGATAAACACACACACACACCTTTCCGTCTGTTGTCTCATTGTTTCTATACAAACACATGTTCACTAGCATCCAGATGGTACGTTACTTGTTTTGTTTTTGTTTTTTTATTTTGCATACTTAATTAATCCCGCAGGGGGACATTCTGGTTTATACTCTGTTATTGAAGGACATGCTTCTCACACACATGCACAAACAGAACCTGTGGACGTGCATTAATGGAGTGATGTCAGAGTTGGGCTGCTACACACACTTCTCGAGGGGGCAAGCCAGAGCGGTTGGGGTTCGGTACCTTGCTCAACCTCCCCAGCTACCAGACTAACTTCCATATTATGGTCCGCATCAGTGCTCAAACCAGCGACCCTCTGGTTCCCAACCCAAGTCCCAAGGACTGAGCTACTGTGGCCCCCTCACCCATGTCAGGTTGATTTTCAGGTTTACATTTAACAACTCACTCTGTGTTTCCTCTTGCTGAGGAAAAACATCCTCAAGCTGGGAAAGGTATAAATAACAAACAGGGAAACCTTTAAGTGTAGAAGTTGAATACTGAAATACTACTTCAAGTTTAAATGGGAATTTCACTTTTGTATCAAGTGATATCCTCATGCAGCTTCTCACTCAGGAGATTTTTCTTCCGGCATTTTTTTTTTTTAAACCTCTGAAAGCCAGTTTGACCTGAAATGTTTGGGCTGAAGAGATAAACTTTTGACTGTGGTACTTCATAAAGCTTCCAGTAAAAGTTTTGCTCCTTTCTCCCTGATTTAAAAAAACATAGCAGCGGATTGAAGTTCTTTTAATAATGTAGTGTCAGAGATTTTAGATCTTTGGTCTTTCTTCCAGAGCAGCTTGAGATTGTTCTGTTGTAATTTGAGATTGAACTGCATTAGCAAAAAATGAATGTATTCTGTTGGTTATTATTTAAGGGCAGTTTTTATTTTTGATGAAATGCCTGCTTTTCTGTAGTTGTGTATTTTTTTATGCAATGCCATTGCACTCACGCAGAACATATCCAGTCACTTAAAAAAGTCTATGCAAAAGACAACAAAGAAGTGTGTTTATATTGTTATGCTACTGTCAGATGGGCGGTATTTATGTGTGATGATATTTGTAAATTGTGCTTGATAATAAACATGTCAAGAATTCTTGATATTAGCTATCTGTCATTTTTAATTGATGTTTATCAGACTTAAAGGTTTTTATCATGAAGGTCAACATTTCATTTTGAATCAAAATAAATAAAGTTATTTCCTTTTTTTTAAGCAATCTGTTGCTGAACTCATTTAGATGAATTATCAACAGGTAGAAATCAGAATCCCTGACCTTCATACAGGAAAGTGGGTCAAAAATTTGTGAGAAAAAAAAAGGAACTGTTCTGTTTACTGTCATTCTTGGTTTGTTGAAAATATGCTACGTGTTTAATATATATTTTTTTAAAGACTCAAGATGTGAATGTCTCTGATATTTATTCAATTTTCATCCAGCACTTGAGCTTTGAGTGTACATGTCTGCTGTTGAAGTTGTAGAATTTACACATATTTCAGGCTCCAAACTGAAAGAAAAGATATGTACTGTACATCCAGTCTGTCTCGTTTTAACTGAGGGCTCAATGTGTCTTTTGTTTATTTTCACTAGTAAACTTAAAGAGCCTGGTCACAACGAAAGACACTGCATTAGCACCTTTTTTAAGGCCTGTAAATATTAGCCATGTAGCCTGTCTTATTATATTTGGTGCCCAAGCAACATAAACAGTCACTGTATCAGAATGAATGGTTGAGAAAAATCTACAAAGACTTCTTCTCAGACTGATAATAACCTGCATGTAGCTGCAGAAAGCCAGCCCATCTTATTGCACTTTTCTAGATTTGCACTGTGAATCAGATCTTTACTAGTACAGGGTGCTGGAGTTATCTTTTTGCTTTAACAATATCTTTTTAAAGTACCCCAGTAAACCTGCTGAAATACTGTAGGTAAACAGAGAACATAACCTCTTTGGAGCTCTTCCCTGTGCAGATGGGGGGGATGTGTTTTCCTCTACAATGTAACACCTCTTCTCACAGCTTTTTATTTTTGATTATATGCTCATAGTTATTCTCAGGCATTTGGTCTTGCGTGTGTTTTTTCTCGATCGCATGAATAGTGTTACTTCATGTCGAATGACATTACTGAATCGCTGTTCTGTGTCGAGACAAAGTCATTGTCCAAATTTTCATGTCATTTCAATCACACATTCAACACATTATTAGGTTAGTAATCTACCAACAACAAAAGTTATTAACATTTATTATGATAAGACAACCTACTTTTACTAAACAGTGGCACACCAGTTGTGGGAGTGTGTGTGTGCATATGTTTGGCGTAGGTGCATGTGTGTGTGTGTGTGTGTGTGTGTGTGAGCAGCCTTGTCTCCTGGAGAAAACTTTGGAGGAGAGTAGAGTGTGTGTGTGTGTGTGTGTGTGTGAGGACAAAGGCTTGAACCTGTATCTTGTCAGGTTGACAGAGAATTAAACAGCCAGTCTTCGGGGAATCACAAAGTTTCTGTTGGCGTGTGTGTGTGTGCTGTGAGAGTGTGACATTTAGTTAAACAATCATCAGTGAGGAGAAGAGCGTTGATGTGACAGGACACATGGATTTGCAGTTTAAAAACGTTATTTGAACCTTATATACTCCGTAAAGCTTCTTTTAACAAAACAATCTCATTAGATATTTTAAATGACTTAAGTCTAGATGATTTCTTGATACATTACTACATCATAGGACCATTCATGAAGCATGGTAAGAGGAAAAACAAGCACATTACTGTTCAATACTCTGCGGTAATGAGGAGTTTCACTTTGTTGGTTATCAGACAGCATCTCTCAGCATTCTTGGCATCACATTGAACAAATGATACTCTTCATCTTCTATAGTAGTCATTCAAGTCTCCCCCTCAGCGATGGAGGCGGGTGGGCAAGAAATGTGTTTCTAGTTGCATTTCAATAAGAGGGATTTGTGCAATTATTTGTCCAAGCAATCGATTCCTGACATCTGTCCTCAAACTTTACTCATGCGCTAAAAATTGAGCTTTTGCTGCGGGACAGCTGTAATCCTCCATCTATCCTCCTCTAAATCCTGACAAATAAACCATCAGAGGACGGGGGGAGTCGGGGGGGGGGGAGTGAAAAGTGAAGAAACCTTGTCATCTCATATCTCTATAATCAATGTCCACAGACAGCTGCTTACACACACAGTTTTCCACTTTTCCTTGTTAGACTGACACACACAACTATGTGTCTTTCTCTTTCCCTGCACACATATCATATAATCATCATTCTTTATTTTTATCTCTAACTTTCCTTTGTCTTGTTCATTCTTTACTCCTTCCTCCTCTCTGTCCCCGTCCTGCACCTTCTCTTTGTGCTCGTCCTCAGTAACAGGTTGATCCATGGCTCTTCTCCTGACATCCGTTATTCCGGATCTTTCCACAGAATGCCGACAAGCCGTGAGTGATGATGATCCTCCAGACAGGAAACCAGGAGAAGCAAACCTGTCTCATTCTGTAAGATGGATGAAGTGTAGGCCCAGATACACGTCATACAGACACAGACTTACACAACTTTTAGCCAGGCATGTGTGATTTATGTATACAGTTGATACAGAAATCTATAACACAGTATCAAATACAAAAGGAAGGAGATTTACAAAATCACATTTCTGGCATACCTTTGTTTTGACCCAGTTTTTCTTTTCAACATGTAAATATACACAGTCGTGTCTTCCTCACATTTTCCAGCAGCAAGGAAATAAATAGCACAGAAACCATTTTGTTTTTTTGTCAAGTATCTGAAAAGGCTTTCTTGGTATCTTGTTATTGTGCAAGCTGTCGAGTTAGTTTTCTGTCTTATCCTAAGATAAAATCCACAATGCAAACCTCAAGCTCAAAAAGGTTTTCAGCCTCAGATTTAATATGTTATATCATATATTTAGTGAAGATGTCTTTGTCTGTCAAAATCTTTTTACAAGTAAAAAAGTTCACTTTAACTTCCTTTATATATTGAAGTCATGATGTTTTCTCGAATGAGTGTCATTCCTGGATACATCACAGCACTGCCTAACATGTCAATGAAAGTCTTCTTGTGTGTTTTTGTTTGTCTTGACCCAATAATTTTTGCTATAGGGCTACAAACTTCAAATTCAGTTCTAAGAGTGGGAGCCATCACAAGATGACTTTAAGTTTCCACAATATGTTGACCATTTTTTTAATGTTGAGAAAAAAAACAGGGGGACAAAAAAAGAAAGGTTTGAAAAAAAAGTACATTACACAGTGTAACTTATTCAATGTATGAGTGCAGCTTGTAATGCTGTGTGTCAAAGGATTTCTGTTGTGTGCATACACTTGTGCATTTGAACATATGTGCTATAAGATAGATAGATAGATAGATAGATAGATGGATAGATTGATTGATTGATGGATAGATGGATGTTTACATCAAACAACACCCACTGCCCCCTTCCCCCTCCCATATGTAGCCTACACATTGACCGGAATGAAGATTTAAATAAACCCCTACATAGATCAAAATTAAACCCATACATTTAAAGATTAGACTTATACCAAGAAAATGTACCTAATAATAAGAGTAGCAACCTATGTACAATTTTAAAACACCTGTAAAATTAGAGTTGTACAAATTAGTGTAGACAAAGTGTTCATAAAACAGCCCAAGGGCATGCATGTGCGTGTCCATGCAGAATGTAAACACACACTAAAACTTCCTGTGTGAAGGCCAAACTGAGAGGAGATTTAGAGTAAGGGAGGGAAGTAGGGAGACAGAGTGAATAGTGAGAGAGAGTGTGTTACTAAAAATGATGTTAACAGGGAGAGAAAAAGAAGAAGAGAAGAAGAAAGACACTTTGGAAGGAGTACGATGTACGACAATAGAGGGAAGCAGAAAGATCTGAGGATGTTTGAGAAATCTTTGGAAAAAAAAACAACACAACACACTGAGTAACTTCAGACAGGCTGACTAAGTGACAGAAATGACAGAGATGCTTCCTGATTCCCAGATCTGGAGATGTGTGTTGAGTTCCACAGTCATTGGAGAATCTAAAAGGGACACACCGCTGACACGCTGGTAGAAGAAAGGAAACTTTCGCTGAAATACTGAAGCGTGCAGAACAGAAAAGTGACTTGTTCAAGTGGATATTCAAGGATGATACAGAAGTGCACAGCGCGCTAAAAGTTGAAGCCTTGGAAAAGACTGAGTTTAATCTATTTGGACACTCACCAAGGATCTTTGGATTTGGACAGACAAGAAAATTGAACCTCAACAGTCACTGGTCTGACTTTATTTCAGTAAGTCTAATGTTTTTTCTTTTCCCCTAGAGTGTAGTTTCTATTTGCAGTGCATAAACTGTGCTGTGATTCAGCGATTTGCTTTTAAAAGATACTGTAGTAATAGGTAATAAAAGACAGCAACAACAACACAAACTTAACCAAAATGTATTAAACTTTGTAAAAGTCAACTCAGGAAGTTTGTAATTGGAAAAAGAACAGAAATCCTAATTAATGAGAATGAGCAAACATTTGATCATCAATGGCAAACAAAGAAGAGGGTTAAAAGAAACTACAATCATGCATCTCAGATCATGTTTGTAGCTGCATGAAAGATCCCTGTGAATCTCGATTACAAGTAGGAGGAACTATCATCAAGGTTGGGATCACTGTAGCAACAAAATGTTCATTTCTCCTTGCAGGTCTTTAATCTTTGAAGCTATAATTTGAAGCAGGACAGCGTGAGATCTGTATTCCAATATCCCATCCTGTCTGTTTCATTTTATCTTAGGCATGCACGCGCACAATTGCACACACTCACACACACACCCATTGACTCTACCACCCAAACAGGGCTCCCACGCTGCTGGAATTTATTTGGACAGTGTTATTTGTGATCAGCCTCTGGGCCCTCTGCTCTCCCTTCTGTATCACTTTACAGTCATTACATCAGCTCACTCTTTGATGTTGGAAGAGGAAGAGCAACAATGGAGAAAGCTGCAGTGATGCATTAAAATTATATCTCATTATCTGTTCAGACTCAAACCTGAGACTACATCACGTTTATTTCAGTATCGTATCTATTTTCAATTGTTGGCTTCAAAGACAGACGTCCAAAACTTCTTTTGAGCTTTTAAATGATGTAATTCATTTATGAAAATATTATGATCATACATTTATTTTTATTTTTTAAACACCAAGACCAAACAATTTATATTAGCATTTAATTTTTACTCATTTGGGGTTTTATTGTATTAGCTATAGGCTACCGGATTTTGTAGGATATTGCTAGCCAAAATGTATCAACTGATTGATGATTCATTACTCTATTCAACACAGCATGCAACACAGGCTCAAATACGTATTTTATCTTTCTTAGCGTTACAGCAGGAATGTGGCCTTTGATAAACAAGAGTCAAAAACCAAGCCATCAGCTTTGTAAGACTATACTGGAGTATTGAACTAGATGCTACACAATGGGTTTAGCCTGTTAGCATGCTTACATATCATGACCCAGTATTGAACAAGAACATACACCAAAGTGGGTTGTTGGTCATAAACCAGAATGTTGAATGGGAACTTTGGCCTGATAATGCCACAAGAGTAGAGTAAGGCCTAGCCTACCTGTGCACAGGCACAGATCAAAACCATGACTTTGTAATGACCAGGAGGGCCCCAGAACCGGAGGTAGACCACAAGGACTGTGTGAGGCTTTAGTAACCACTACACCACTGGCCTGCCTTACAGTGTTTTCTTGTCATGGCTTATTAAGATTAAGATTAAGATTTACTTTATTGATCCCGCAAGGGGAAATTCTGTTTTTACACTCTGTAAGTCATGCAACACACACATAGGCTGAAATATACACACATGCAGAAACAGGATCCTGTGGACATGCACTAATGGAGAGATGTCAGAGTGATGGAGCTGCCTGAGTTGATGGGGGGGGGGGGGGGGGGTCGGAGCCTTACTCAAGGGCACCTCGGCAGTGCTCAGGAAGTCATCTGGCACCTCTCCAGCTACCAAACCAACTTCCATATTTGGTCCGCACCGGGTCCAGTCCCGTAGCTCAGTCCCTACAAACTGAGCTACGGCCGCCCCCTTATGTACTCTCCATACATATTGGCAATACAAAAGAGGTGTTAATGTAGCCATTGCTTGTTTGGTGTATGGTCTTTCCTTCACATAATTGCTATTCAAATGTGTGGTTCACCTCAAACACAAGAAAAAACACCATACACAAACTGAAGTTGAGGAAAGTCAGAACACTCCAATTCCACACAGAAAGGCCCGTGCTGGGATTTTAACCCTGATACTTCCTGCTGTGAGGAGGCACTCTGACGCATCTTTTAGAGAGAGAGAGCCAAAACATAGGGAAAGGCCCTGCTTGGAATTTGAACCCTGAACCAGCTTGCTTTGTGACAAAAGTGCAAGCCACCACATGCATGTGGCCCTGCAGGGCTTTCCTAGTGAATTGACTTTCAAGGACATAATGGCAATGAGAAAAATATATATACATTTAAATTATAAAGCACTTTTGGTTAAAAAATAAGCAACATACACTTCAGTGGGAGGAAGCTTAACAAATTCAAGCTACACAGGGAAGTCCACATCTGCCAATTGAACCAAGAACTTGGTTTTGAGAAACTTAATTTCCACAGATGGAAATAGTTAGATATGTCGAGGCTCCAAAGACCAGCTTTGAAATTCCATTATTTAAGAAGACATAATATTCAATTCCAATTTCTGAACAGGTGGAGTAAGCGGTTTAACACACTGTTTCCTCAGAACGATGATCATTACACTGGTTAACCCTGTTAATGATGATGAACTAGCTTTAGGAAGCTGAACAATATGAGGGGGATGTTACTGTGAAAACATCCATTTATTTCCTTCAGTGGTCCTAGTTTGCAGTAGCTGGACCGCTCTTTATAAAGATGAATCACATTATTCAAGCCTCACCCTCAAGATTACTTTTTTCAGTAGCTGGATCATTACTTTTAGCTGCAAGAGTTCACTTATGAGACTAGACAAAACAATATGCTGGGCTTCTTAGACCCTTCTGTGTGGGACTAACATGAGCTATTGAACAGCATTTGTCATGGGAGAAGACAGTAGTATGCTAACCTCAAGGGGGGGGTTTATGGGATTACACACACTTCCTTTTTTATGAAATAAATATTTAACCCTCGTGTTATTGGAGAATCATAATATTTTGACAAGATCTCTCTTGTATTTGACTCTACCAATGGGGCTTTGGGGTTTACTTTTTATTAATTCACTTTGTCACTTGCCAAGGTTTGTCTTCTGATCAATTTGGTGGGTTTAAAAAGAAAATCGTGCAGTGAAATCAGCCAAACAAAAAAACAGGAACACACAAAAAAACTAAGTCAGCTAAGGAGTACCAATATTTTTTAAGAGGTGAAACTACAGTCACAATCAGGCTGAAGTATCAGGCTTTCTATCTCTTCACTACATCCCCCATTTGAATGCTTTCATAATTACAGGTGTCCTTCATGGACCCTAAAGGCTCTGTCTTAATGCGGCCATTGACTGCTCAATGATCTGCGTCAGCTGACAAGGAAACTCTAAAAAGGAAAAGCATCCAGCTATACTTACATTATATTTCATAGAGATATTCAATATATAGTATGTTATAGTCAGTGACTGCCCTCTGCTATCTGTAATATTCACACCTTAGATTATAGTTTATATTTGCACATTTCCCTCCTCATAGATGAAAACACCATATGGAAAGGGTTACACTTGTAATATCTCAGAACTGCAGGATTTTGAGTTGGGTTTTTTTTGAGTTGCAAAAAAAAAAAACAACAACAAAAAAACTACTGAAGATGACAAGCTGTGTTATGATACAGAGACATCTGTTACAGCTTCTTGTTCTACTACGGAGTATTCTCCATCTTTATCAGCTGCTGTAGATAGTGATCATGCAGACTGAAGCTGTCATCTTTATCTACTAAGCAGTTCATTTTTGGAACATCGATCATGCTTCATAAAGGATTGAAGTTAAAATTGTCTGTGCTGAACCTAACAAACTAATGAAGGACAAAATGACTGATATGATGACATTTCACAAAACGTACATTGAAAATACCAGTGATAGAACTGTCACCCTGTCTGCACCCATCCTCATAGATGTCCCAGTTGTCCCAACCGTGCTTAATTTCAATTACAAGTAGACTTCCCCGAAAGTCACTATAAACAAACAGGCCACATAGCCAGGATTGTTTTTCTTAGTGTTTTTTTTTTCAAGATTTATTTATGGGCTTTTTGCCTTGATTTGATAGGACAGTGGATAGAGTAGGAAATCAGGGAGAGAGAGTTGGGAATGATGTGCGGGAAAGGAGCCACAGGTCGGACTTGAACCTGAAATAAATGTATATAAAAACAAATATATAGGCTAAATAAAAAGTCTTAATATAGACGATATTGGTTTGACTTAGTTAGTTTGGCCATGCCAACAGCAACATCAACACTGAGGACACACTGAATGTTTGTGTGTGAAAGGGGCTGTGAGGTTATTATTTAGGTCATGGACAGACTTGACTAACTGTAGGCCAGACGTATGATGAAAAGTCACACAGAAAAGGCTGCCAACTAATGTGGATTATGTTAGAATTTAGGTTTGTATCTTACCAGGGCAATTTATGCTATCCCTTGGTGTGCATTTGGTTTACTTTATTCCCACAGTCTCCAACTGCCAGTTTCGATTGCCTCCCTGTATGTTGTCTGTTGCATGCTGGGATATCTGCAGTAACAGTTTGAGAAGGAAATGAACAGGGCAAAAAGGCAACTTTTGATAATACACAAACTTCAGTGTTATTCGCGGTGACCACCCAACCATATAATGTGTTTTTGTTCCACAGTTTCTGCACCAAATCTAGATCATCATCATCGTCATCATCATCATCATAACCATCTTCAACATTTACAATATCACATTATGATGAACTTCAACAGCACCGAGCCCTGGCTTTTCATCAATACATCATCTCCCATCATGCCTGTAATAGCCGGTCCTGCTAACAGAAGTGGCATGGAGGCATATTTTTTAGACGAGGGGCTCTACAACGACTTTTATGGCCTTTGGATTACACTCATGGTCATAAACTCTCTCATATTCTTGGTGAGCACTTTAGTAGATATTGTTATAGTTTTTATGTGAATTTCAAAACTTATTCAGACCATTGAAGTCTGTTGAGTAAGCCTTCTAATTCTCCTTTACTCTTTCTTAGGTTGGCATGGTGCTCAACACAGTCGCACTCTATGTTTTCTGTTTCCGCACGAGGCAGAAGACCACATCAGTGATCTACACCATCAACTTAGCAGTGACGGATCTCTTGGTGAATCTCTCTCTGCCCACTCGGATCCTGCTTTACTACAGTGGAGGAGCTTGTCTCACCTGCTCCTACCTGCACATCTTCAGCTACTTTGTCAACATGTACTGCAGCATATTGTTTCTCACCTGCATATGTGTCGACCGATACCTTGCCATCGTGCAGGTGGGTTTGGTCTCCCTGTACAACGTGCTGTCACTCTAACTTCAAAACAAGAGGGTATTTAAACGACAAATGTTCTTCTCTTTTGTTAAGGTTGAAGCTTCTCGTCGATGGAGGAACTCCAGTGTGGCTAAATGTGTGTGTGTCTCTGTCTGGCTCTTTGCCATCGTGGTCACATATTCCTTCCTCTCCACTGCATTCCAGCACCCAGGCTGCTGCCTTTCTAAGCTCTTGCTTCTCACCATCTTTGAGTTCTTCCTGCCACTCATTATCATTGTGGTCTTCACGTTGAGGATCATGTGGGCACTGGCTGACCCTCGCCTGATGCAGCAGAGCAGGTGAAAACAGAAGTTATATCATGACATATTGTAGTCTTAATCTGTTATTCCTAACCTTATTAGATATGAAAAAAATAATCAAAACTATAATATCTTGTTGATATATGTCTCTTTGTCTACTCAATGGCAACTGGGGCTCAGTGGAATTGTAAATGGTGAATGGAATTGAGCTTGTACAGAGATCTTCTAGTATTATTACTACTCAAAGCACTTTTACACGGCAGGTCACACCTACCCGTTCTGCACATTTACACACTGATGGCAGAGGTTGCTATGTAAAGTGACCACCAGAAGTAACTAATCACATTCACACACAGTCATACGCTGCCGACGAAGGAGCTGAAGCAACTTGGGTTTAAGTGTCTTGCCTAAGGACACATTGAACATGTGGCTGCAGGAGCTGTGGATCTGACACCCAACTTTTGGGTTAAGAGACGACCGACTCTGCCAACTTAGCCACAGTCATCTTTCAATGGGAAAGTTGGCCATTCTCAGCTCTGCCTGTCCTTGGGCAAGACACTTAACCCCAAATATCTCCTAGTGGCATAAACATGAGTGTGTCTGAATGAGTATGAATGGGATTAGTTGACAATGATGGCCATTTTAGAGAGCTTTCTCTGCCATCATGCCATATAGTGTAAAAGTGCTTTGAGTGATCAGAAGACTAGAAAAGTTCTATACTCCATTTACCATAACAAATGTTTTACATCTAAATGGCAATACCTTGTTTCAAAATTGCACTGACACCAGAACGGCCCTATAAAACAGTGTGGGGACAGAACCTACACTCTACTACAGACATTTGGTGTAATTCATAATCACATACACTCTTCTTCTGTTTTTAAGGCAGCCTTTGTTTCCAGATAATTTAAATTGATCTTGATCTGGATCATGTAATGTGAAAGTATACCTCGTTCACTCCACTGCATGCACTGGTCATAAACCTGTTATATAGTGCGTTTTATCTTTGCAAGTATTTCAGAAATCCTCATTACAAGTTGAGGCAGATCTTTCCGCTGCCATTTTTGGCAACGCTCTAGGCCTGGATTTGACAGAAATAACTTTAAACATGTTGGCTTTTTCTTCTTTAGTGGCTCGGCAAGTAATCTTGCTTCAGTGGAAGAATTCTGCCCCTCCTTAGCACTAGCTCTGGATCACAGACGTTGTTTCCTGTATGAATCTAGAGAAAATCATTTGTATTTCCTATGGAGCAGAGTGTGAAATGTGCAAAGTTATTTGGACTACTTCTTGCATTTCTCGAGTGTCCCACTGTAGTTACTCTGAATAGCTATTTTATTTGTTGTGTTTATTTTTATTTCGAGATCCATTTGCCAATTTTTGGGTTCTTACAAAGGACTTTTATATATTTTTATCTGTTTTCTTGGTGTCTCTTTATAATTTTAGAATGTACCTTCTGTAGTCAGCTTTGGGGGAAGGTGGAAGTGGAACAAAAAATCACTGCACAATTTGCTGGGATCCCACTTGGCTACACAAAAAGACATTTTAAAGAAAGAAAAGAAAGAGAACAATAGAAATGAACAATTGAAAGGAATAAAATAAAATAAAACTCACAGTTTCAGCACTGTAAGCGCTGCAGACTTAAAGATGCTTACAGCTGATGAGATGTCAAAGTGGTGTCTTTTTTTACTGTCTTTCTACAGGGACAGGAGACGGAGGGCTGTCCAGCTGCTGACCACAGTGCTGATCATCTTCACAGTCTGCTTCACACCTTTCCACATCAGACAGGTTAGGGAGAGACATTGTTTTAAAAAGCATCATCATCATGTTTTATTTATTTGAGTTTAGTCTCTCAACCCTTAGGATGGAGATGAATTTAAGGGGTCACAAGGGATAAGAAACTGGACAATAAAAGGAATAAGAAAGTGAACATATTGCGTGTCATCTCATGGTTGTGTTTTTTTGTGTGTTGTAGGTGGTGGTGTATTTCTACCCTGACTTGCCACATCATGTGATAGTCTACCACCTGACAGTCACTCTCAGCAGTTTGAATAGCTGTATGGATCCTGTTGTATACTGCTTTGTTACAAATAATTTCCAGGTCAGACTGAGCAAGGTGTTCTTCACCATGCTTCCCCTTACATTAATCAATCTTCATTTGTACAGCACCAATTCATAGCAAACATTATTTTAACACACTTTACCAAAAAATACACCCTGTCATCTACCTGTCAACCCTTCCATCCATCCTTCCCTCCAGTCGCAAACTGTCTATCTCTCACTAATCTATTCCCTTATTGATTAATCAGTTCACTGAAAAATGTACTGCCTTTTTCACCTCAGGCAACTGTGAGGAATATTTTCCGTCGGGCTGAGCCCGAGCAGACTAGTGGTGACATCATCAGCATGCAGCACAGCTCCAAGGCTTCAGGAGGGACAGCCAACGCCATCACCAAGGATGTGATTGTGATGACCAAGATTTCTTCTTCACTGCAGAGAGACAATGCGTGAAAGAACCACACTTTGTAAATCCTTTTTGCACGGAGTGAAGGGAGCTGAAAGTGACTAAGAACGCACAGTTGCTCGATGTAAACAGGCTGATATTTTTGGACTCTGCAGCATGCTGACCAAAAAGGCCCTGTTCAAAGCTCCCAGGATCAACAGACAATACTGACTTAAAATCAGCGATAAAGAGCAACAAGTGCAAAAAAATAAGGGACTAGCTGAAGGGCGGGTTCAGCAAACTATGAGTATAATAAATTAATTACAACATAGTCTGCAAATAAACAGCCCTTTAACTTTTAAATTATTAGAATAATAATTAACAAAAATGATCAAATTACAGAACATAATCAGTTGCCACTGAAAAAGGAACAGTGGGCAATGAAAACTTTGACTTCTGTTATTCTACAAATCGTATGAATGTCCATGGAAAAAGTGCTGGTTTTTAAAAGAAAGTTAAAAATGTCAATCAACCTCCGACATGCTCGTCTAATAAGAAAAAGGACAATAGTCACCATCATAAAGCATTATTTGTTTAATTTAAAAAAACACCAACAACAAACAAACAAAAACACCTGAAAACCAAATCAGAAGATCCACTGAAAAAAACGTTTGTATTTGGAGGTAATGACCATTTTGTGCAGCAGAGGGCAACAATGCACTCCTTTTCAAAGACTAACTGTCAGAGACTTCAGAAAGTACTACAACTGCTAGAGAAATGTAGGCCTATTGGTTGACTGAAAGCACCTGGAATATGAATGTGTGGGTTGTAATAATATTGTTTTACAATTAAAGAAAACGTCAACGCAAAAATAAATCGGAAAGTCGTTAAGTTGGAGCGAAAATGTCTCAGTAATTGTATATTGCAGAAATCTGGAGGGAAAGTAAGGGATGTTCAAGGCAGTCACTTTGTTAAGCAGTGATCTGGTACTTTTGTGATTCGAGACTAATCTTCCGCCTTTATGTTGACAGGATCAGAAACTGGAGAATGATAAGTCAAAAATGCATAATAAATGCTGTAGGCCTAATTGAACCATCTCATTCAGGGTCCTTTATGTAGACAGTTTCTCATGTCTGGCAACCATAGACTGTAAATATTGGCAACATTATCTTTTTGGAATTTTGTCCGAAAAAAAAAAAACACTAAACCAATAACTTAAAATGTTCCTTTATTTCAATCAAGAGATAAACCCCACCTCTTTGTATACATTTCATTGATGTTTATTTATTTTTTTATTATTATTTATCGACAAGAAATAAGTAAAGCATCATTGCATCAACTCCCCGCCCTCCTTAGGTGAGGGAGACTGGTGACGTCATTTACGTTTTCCCATGACCACGCCTCGCTTTGTTACTGTGGAAACCAATGACACTGATGAGGGTAGTCATCCAGATGGTCGGTTAGCCAAATTGCTAACCCAAACCAAGTTTTTTTGCTGTCGCGTTACCGATAGTTTACATAATGCGGAGCCGCTTGGACCTTATCCTGGCGGGGTAAATTCCCAGGTATGTTAGATTTTTCTTGTCTTAACTTCCTACAGTTAGCTGCTTGATTTATTAGCCATTTACAAGCCTGCTATAGTAATGTTAGCCTCAAGTCAAACCACAGTCAGTGTAAAGTTAATGTGTACAGCATGTAATGTGAAGTGAACCACCCTCGCAGTCCTCTTTAGAATTGAATTATGTATCCTACTGTACAACAGGTTAGAAGGTAGCCCAGGTAAGTCCGTGATACCGCTAGCATGAGAGAAACATTTCCTGGTTAATGAAGCCCCCTGACATCGTCGTTTCTCATTCCTTAGAGAAACATGTTTGTTGTTTTTTTTACCTCAGCACGGTGAAGGTCAAGGCAAGGCAAGTTTATTTATATAGCACATTTCAACAACAAGGCAATTCAAAGTGCTTCACACAAGACACCAAAAGCATCATGACAGAGGAAAGAAAAGAAACATTAAGATAGAACATTAAAAAAAAAAAAAAAATCACTGGAATTATTAAATCTGATATGTTCAAATAAAAATAATTCAAATTAAATTTATTGAAATAAATAAAGTAAAAATATAAAAAAGAGTTAAAAGTTACAGTGCAGAGTTAAAATGTAAAATCTTATTAAAATTGTTTAATGAAAGGCAGCTGTAAACAGGTTAAAACATGTATAACAAAGTAACTACACTCAGGTACAGGTTCCTTGACCAGTCTGTGAGTTATGATGACATTGAATTGCACTGAACTGCCTCCCAGGTATGAGAAGCGTTTTATAGTTTATTTTGTCTATTCATTAACTTATATGTGACATTACCTTCATCTGAGACACTAGCCCTTTGTTAACCTGAGAAAGTAGTAGAGGTGCTTGAGTAAAGACGACAAAGTGGGCTTCATTGTAACCCTAAAAAAATATTTTAAAAAGTTAATTTATAGTCATCACTTATTAATCTAGGAAAGCAGATGGGATCTACTGATTGTAACCAGCAGCAATAACGCTACAATAATTCTGTAGTGAGAGTTGGTCTTTACCTCTGCCTTGTTGCTTGTCAGGCTTGTGTATTAAAGGTTGTGTTTACTGAGGTTATTGCTGCATCTTTCAGTTATTTTCATGACCTTATAATTTTTCTAGTATTTTCTTGACTGATTGATTAGTTCTCTGGACGTTAAAAAAACCTGAATATGGTGAAAAAAATGTTTGTGAGTTGCAAAGGCATCCTGAAATGTATTGTCATTTGATATATATTGTGTATACAAACTTCGGGTTATTGCTATTTTTTTCTTAAACTGGGATATTTGTTTCATCTCATATAAATTGACTGTAATGGAAGATGTTTTTGCGAGACTTCTAGTATATTCTGTGCTTGATCCCCTTCTTAAAAGAAATACATATATAACAATTAACTATATAAAAGTACTATGAAAGTACTGTATCTGTAGGAACAAAGATTCAGAAAATAATTTAAGGCAGGCAATGCTCCCACCAGAACAATGCCCCCCGTCTGCTTTGTGTGTAGTTTAACTAACTTTTTCTAACTGCTTCAATGATTATTTTGCAGGTTGCTGCATGATTCAGTAGGTCTTTGTCAAGAGGTTTCCACATGCTTTGACCACTTGCTTAGAAGTTCAAGTTCTTACATGCATGCATGCACACATACCTCTGCTGACTCCAAATCTCATCTTGCACAATCCAGATACTGCATACACAGACAAACCATAGCAAACAAACACATTTTCAGACCTATTTTGCTGAAGAGCTTACTATAAACACAATCGCAGGGAACATTTCTCCCCCTGCCTCCCATACAGTATACCTCCAGGGCTGTGCTTCTCTGTCTCTGCTTTTTCTGAATTTTGAATTTGTGCAAGCCACAGTGAGGAACACATCGCTTTACTCTGAGCTACTAAGCCATGTCACACAGTCTGGTTTGATGGTTGTTAAGATGTATGGTATATATTTTCAGAGCATACATTTGGGATTGTTACTATTACTCCTTCCTCAATTATTAGCAAGTCTTTGACTTTGAACTGGGGGGGTGTTCTGACAGGCAGAGATTCTCTCTGATCAATCTTTCTGGATATCTTCTTACACAGGGACAGATCAGGAGGAAAACCATGGACACTCCATATTCTATTCAAATGTCACAACAAGGATATTTATCTTTACATGTAAAATAGCAGATGCTGTATATGTAATTAACACTAAAGTATACCAACCATCCAGCAATATAAATGGTTCCCCTGAAGGCAAATCAGGCTATGATGGTAGAAGAAGTAGAAGAGAAGGAGGCTTCAGGCCCTCCAGAGAAGAGAAAACCCCAGGAAGAAGAAGAAAGTGACAATGAGAAGGAGTTGGTAGAAGGACGAGGTGTAAGGATTCCTTTGCATCGCTGGGTTATGCACGGAGCAGTGATGTTTGGACGTGAGTTCTGCTACGCCATGGAAACTGCCCTTGTGACGCCAGTGCTGCTGCAAATAGGTAAGGAGACGCATTACAGTCATGTTGTGACAGGCACACTTTTGTCTCCTCTAAGTGATATTTTCTAGTGCTGGCCATCTTTAAACATGAGATTCAGCTGTTCTGGCAGCACTGGAATTTCCCATAAACTGAAAGTCTACAGTGGAAAGGTAAAAACTAAAAACATTGCCCTATGGTATTTCAGAGTGGCTGTGTACTAACCCTGCCATGGGTCTTAGTGATACATTCTCAGCAAAGACAATCATCGTTCCCTGCTTAATGTTAGGAAAATAGAAGACTCACAGGCTAATTAACTCACCACAGATTCAGTTGTAATCATCTTGTTGTTTGCTCATTTAGTATACTTAAAAAGATGGTTTAACTTAGTGTTAAAGATCAACAAAGGTGTGCTAAAAAGTATACCCTTAGTGTAAAAACTTTCAGTTTTGAGGAATAGGACTGTAACTGCATTAGCCTTAGCCATACTGGATCCATGGATTTCAGGTTGCTGCAGTGTAACCTGTGTAGGAGAAGCTAACGGGGGGAATGCAGTTAGATGTAAGGTTGGTCCCCATAGCAGAAAGGGAACAAAAGCATTTCTCCCTGGCTAGGTATGACAAGAATGTTAAACACAGCACATTTCAATCTCTCTGTCACCTCTGTATTGACAATATTGCAGGAAAGATTGTGTTTCATAACTTCCAACCACATCCCATCCAGAGACTTTCCTCTATTGCTGTCAACACAGATGCTTGACAGAAAAAAAAGAGAATCCATTCACTTCTTTAATTCATTATTGCAATATGGTGTTTTAAACCTGGATGAAGCACGACTAGTTTGCACAGTTTAAACATTATCAGTGTGTTACTGTTTTTCGTCACAAAATTCACACTTGCAGTACCATTCGTCTCTTGAGCGTGTGCACCCCTTTCTAAATGCATGAGACAAGCAAAACAGAGAGCCACTTATTAAAAAGCAGCAACAAGAGGACCACAGGTTGTTTCAGTCATGGTGTAGACCAATTTCAAAATTGAGATTGAGCAGCAATAGGAAAGTCAGGAAGGAAGATAATGTTCCTACTGCTAGTAAGTTATGTAGTGTTTTGTTGACTTAAGGGAGAGGAAAGGCAGGAGCAGAGTAAGGCAGCGTGGGTAACATGTTGTTCCCGTGAGAACCAGCCATCTCACCCATCCAGATTCTTTATAAGGGGTGGAAAATAAGGATATTTTGTAGCAGAATCTTTTCTTTTTTTTTTTAACAATGATTTACCCCTGAGTATCTTCCATAAATTTAACACAGATTTTATGAAGGTCGGTAAAATTAGAAACTACACTGAATGGCTGTAAGAATGAGTGTTTCCTGCTGACATGCTGCAGCTTGGTTCTGTCTTATCAGATGGTCAGTAAGGGAGATGATTTCAACACTTTCCTGGCTGGTTGTTGCATATTTCTGTCGTGAATTGTTGTAATAGGCCACATCATTATCTGAAATGTCTGTGCCACCCTTAAAAGCTGTTGGTAAAGGAAGCTGTCGTAATTCTTTAATGCCTAGATACAAGTTATTCTGGCGATTGCCTGCATGGCAATCATGAATGGTTTTCTAAAGTAATGTTTTCCTAAAGGTCACATATTGTTCTCAGAGTCTCAGAGCGCCCCAAAACATGTATGTGAAGTTTCTTGTTAAAAAATCCACTCTGATCGTGTGTTTTAGCATGCCTAGAAACCCCTCTATTTCAGCCCTGCTCAGAACAGGCTGTTTCTGTGTCTGTAGCTTTAAATGTAAGGCCCTGTTCACACTTAAACTTCTTTTTTCAACTGCCAGCGCCTCTTTTACATACAAGCCTATGGAAAATGGAAAAAGAATGATGCCTTTTCAAAAAGCGATGTGCCCGACACCTTTTTCAGTTGAATTATTTCAACTTTTCAGAAAAGCACTGGGTGACTTCAAGTGCCTTTCTGACAGCCGACCAATCAGGATGAGTAGTAACCTACGTCCCTAGTTACCTGTGCGCAAAAACGGCAAACTTTCACCAGATATGTGTGCTTTGCGTGTCCGCTCCGGTCTCTTATAGGTCCCTGCACATGCGCATAAGCGTTCAAAGGCGCTGAAAGCAGCGTTTTTTTCTGAAAAAAGAAGTCCAGTGTGAACACGGCCTGTGTATTAAGTGAACTGTAATAGACCACGCCCCTCTGGAAGGGAATGTGCCTTGGGCTTTCTTGCACTATGCCCAATTTTTTTTTTACGATGAGAAGGCAAACTCAGAGGGCAGGACAAACACCCAGCTGTGGGAGTGTCACCCACCTAGGGGAGGCGTTACTGCCCATTGTGATGTCACAAAGAGAAAATCTCCAAACGGCCTCTGAACACACATTTTCTGAAAAGTGGAGCAAGCAAAAGACGGAGAGGGTGGACATTTCTCATAACTAGGGGAATTGTAGACAGACTAGGGACACATATTAGTGTTAGAAAAACATGGTAAAGTGTATTTTGCACAATATGTGACCTTTAAAGTAGAGATGGGATGGGACGGATCTGATCTAATATCAGTATTGGGTCTGATATTAAAGTGATTTACGTATCAGATATTGGACTGACGGCGCCAATCGACGTCACTGATAAAGAAATATGGTTGGGCACTTTGAACATTCTCCACTCGCAAAGTCTCGCTTTGAAGACATTCAGACTGAACTGAAGAGGTGCAAACAAATCATCTCCATGACGACTTTTAGACAAGATGTAACAGCTCCTTCTATTTGATCAAAAGCACAATTGTTACACTTCGGTTTAAAAGATTTACTTTGAAAACCTGAGAGTTGTTGCTTCTTCCTGTTTAGGATAGGATAATAGGACAGGAAAAGGATAATACTTTATTGATCCCCAGAGGGGAAATTCAAGCGTTGCAGCAGCACAGACAAGTAAGAAGGTCATACAGAATACAAATTTAAACAGACTAGATAAAATAAAAATAGGTTTGTATGTTTGTATGTGAAGCCAGAACAATGCAATGCAGGTTTACCACAGTGCTGTGTAGCCTTACACATGCTACCAACAACAGTAACAGTAACATTATTAGCTAATAATGTTAATAAAAATATCAGTATTGGTACATATGTATCGGAATCGGATCAGTGCATCTCTACTTCAAAGATGACAGAACAAGGTCCAGTGAGTGAGGAGTACAAAGAACAACCATCTCTCAGTAGACATTTAACCCAAGTTAAGACAGAGTTATTAAAAAACAACAAATACAAATGAAAACATTTGACATTACTAAACATCATAAGTTAAAGTGTGTGGTAAGTATTTTCCCTTAGCAGACGGATAGTCTCTCAGGGGCAAAATGAACACAGCAACCATCTATTAAAGATGAAACAAGGCAGGTTTTATACTCAGTGCTGCCTGATCAAATAAAAAGTGAAGTGCTTGATCTTTTTTTTCATGTCACACATGCTTAATATCTGCTTTTTGGATTGCATTTGATGTTATTTTGGGATTTATCCATCAGCAGATAAAATATACCATAAAGTAATGTGTCAGTGTTTAATCTTTGCTCTCATATGCTCCCGTCAATTCAAATTAAACTGCCATTACTTTTTCATTTGCCTTTTTTAGGTCTACCTGAGCAGTATTACAGTTTAACGTGGTTCCTCAGTCCTATCCTGGGTCTCCTATTCACACCTGTGATTGGCTCAGCTAGTGACCGCTGTACTCTGCGATGGGGCAGAAGAAGACCATTCATTCTTGCCCTGTGTGTAGGTGTGCTGCTGGGAGTGGCATTGTTTTTAAATGGATCATTAATTGGTAAGTTGGAGATTAAAAAGGAGATCACCAGTGAACATTTTATTTATTTATGTTTAACCAAATTTTTACGTGGTGTTCTGTCAGGCCTTTCTGTTGGTGACACTCCCAGCAGTCAGCCAATTGGCATTGTCCTCACTGTACTGGGCGTGGTGGTGCTGGACTTCAGTGCTGATGCATCTGAGGGACCAATCAGAGCTTACCTCCTTGATGTTGCCGATACTGAGGAGCAAGATATGGCCCTGAATATTCATGCCTTCTCTGCAGGTAAGGCAAGCACACACATAGACATAAACCTGTATAAATTACACCATTTCTTTGTTATTTAATAATTGACATGTGTGTCTGTGTTTGCATGCTTCTCTGCAGGTCTTGGTGGAGCAGTGGGCTACATGTTGGGAGGTCTTGACTGGACTGGTACAGCTCTGGGTCAAGCATTTAAATCCCAGGAGCAGATCCTCTTCCTGTTTGCAGCCATCATCTTCATCATCTCTGTCACACTGCATATGCTTAGTATCCCTGAGCAAACATTAGCTCCATCACATCAGCTTAAAGTCACAGGAAGTGTAGAGTCTACCAGCCAAATGTCTTTCAGGCCATTTAGCCGCACACCCCCTCTATTGGATGTAATTACTGAGGAGGATTGGTCTGCTCGAGCCCCATCTCGAGAGGACAAAGAATTAGACTCTGAGGAAGGGGAGATGGACTTTCTGGCTGTGGAGCGAGTGCGGAGTAAAAGTGATTCTGTGTTGGCAATGCCTGATGCTACAATCGAGTTGGATCCAGACCTCGACCCGGATAGACAACTTTTCCTGCCAGACTTTCTGCAAGAGACGCAGGAAGAGCTGGATGATGCTTTCAAACCATCAGACCACAGCATTGACTCTTCATCTCCTGCTGGTGGAGCTCCGCCCATATCTGATGGGATGGTGATCTTAGATCCTGCAGATTCATCTCCTCCAAAGCTTAAGGATTCAACAAACAGTCGTCCCTCTGACCTTCAGATCAGTTCTGGCTCAGCAGACTCCCATCAGAAAACACAGGTGAAATTAGTTTGGTTTGGCTAAAATTACATTGCCAGGACAGAAGAATAGACAAAATATAAAATGGATCTTTCTGAGACAGAGAATTACATCGATATTTTCTCTTTCTGTGTTTAGTATGTAAATCTTTGTCTGTCTTCTGTCCCAGCAGGTCAAGGCTGTCAATGGAGTCAATTCAATTAAAGGCAATGGCTCCAGTAGGCTGATGACCCGTCCCTCCAGCTCCTCTGTGACATCACGGCCACACCCCCACACCTTTTACAGACAGGTTTATTTGCATTTAACAATTTTTGAATTACTTTCTGTAATAGTCCCACATATTTCCTTGACATCTGAGTTTATTTTCAAATGTTAAGAACCTGTCATCAACTTTTTTTTTTTTTTTTTCTTTCTCCAGCCCTCTTTTACTTTTTCTTACTACGGACATGTGCGATCCCAGCGCTTTCGACTGCGGCGGACACTTTTGAGTCCTCAGCCAATCACAACCTCACGCAGTCTGAATGATCTGACTGACCTCAAACGGCGTGCTGACAGGCGGGAGTTGCAGCTTTCGGCAAGCAGTCTTTCATCTGAGGGCTCCAGCATAGAGGAAGAAGGCAGGGGTACAACTGTTCGACTGTTGTGGTTATCTATGTTGAAGGTGAAACAGACATCAATGTCTTAAAAATGTGTGTTTTTTCATCCTCTAGTACATACTGTATGTACAGCATCACATTTACAACATTATTCACAGGCACTCCTGCAAGCAAAACAAACCTTTTTGACAATTCCTCTTCAATATAACCTTCTATTCATGACTATCTGTGTTCTCCGCCCTCGACAGATGCCGCGGCAGCTGTGGAGATTGTGTGTGTGTCACCTCCTCACATGGTTCTCCATTATTGCTGAGGCTGTCTTTTATACTGATTTCATGGGGCAAGTGATCTACCACGGGGACCCAACGGTACACTTAACTTCACACTCAACTTCAGCTGACATCATCTGCACTACATCAACACAGCAATAACAGTTTATCTAGTCTGTCTTTTCAAATAAAGTGTGAGACAACTTAAAATGTATTCTCCATTTTTTCAGGCACCATCCAATTCAACAGAGCTCCAAAACTATCACAAAGGAGTACAAATGGGTTGCTGGGGACTGGTGGTCTATGCTGCTACTGCTGCTGTGTGCTCCGGTAAAATACTACTAATTGTTTGACTGTTCTTACTTACTGCTGAACAACTAAACTGGCTGCCTTCATTTACTTATGTGCTTCCCTACATTGTCTCTTATAATAAATGTGTCTCTTTCTCCGTCTTTCCATATCTCCTCTCAGCCATCCTTCAGAAGTACCTGGATAATTTTGATCTGAGCATCAAAGTCATTTACATTGTTGGAACTCTGGGATTCTCAATAGGTCAGTTGCCACAATTGAATGAATAGTGAAGATGAAGATAATAGGGTCAACGAAATTGTGTACCGTATTTTCCGCACTATAAGGCGCACCGGATTATAAGGCGCACCTTCAATGAATGGCCTATTTTAGAACTGTTTTCATATATAGGGCGCACCGGATTATAAGGCGCATAGAATAGAACGTGTTTACAACTGAACAAGGCTGGGAGATATTGTGAATATATAAATATAAATACGTATAAAACGTAACGTATAAAACTACAAAAACAAAAGTACATAAGACGATTTCCCCAAATAATAAATTAATTCTTTGACGTTTCTCTTAACTCTCAAAACGTAGTTTTATACGTAGTGCATTCACAATAACTCAACGTTGTTCAAACGTTAATGTGCATATTCACAATATCTCCCAGCCTTGTTCAGTTGTAAACACGTAAAAGAAACACAGTCTGATACCGCTAATTCAAACGTTAGTGCAGGGGTGCCCAAACAGTCGATCGCGATCGACAGGTAGATCGCTGACTGATTCTCAGTCGATCGCGAGATGTTTTGTCAATATAAAATACAATTGTAAAATAGAAAAGTGATTTCAATTTCATCTCATTGCACTGTTTCCCACACACGATACCTGTGTTGGGAGCCCAAGTATACTTCCGACCTGTGTGTATTTAATCTTTCATTTATTCATGAAATTGCTGCGTGCATGAGAGAGCGAGCGAGAGAGCGAGCGGGGGAGCGAGAGAGAGAGAGCGCGCGCAAGAGAGAGTGCAGGCATGCGCAATGACGTGCAGGTAAAACCGGGGGGCTAAATGTTTTACCAAAAAGTCATATATAGAAACTATGCTACGAGTATTAAGCGCATTTGATGAAGCTGCAGCTACTTTTCTCTGCTCCTCTCTGCTGTCATGACTGTGAGCATCGCGGGGCACGAGACACACCAACAAACAGCGCAAACGCACACGCACACGCACACACATACACACACACAAACTTGCACTGGAGCGCCAGCCACCACGCGAACCTTTTTACTTTTTACTTTTAGTGCTACAGCACACAGTTGATCCGTGATCCGTACGGACCGAGGTGGGAACACACGTGACCCGGTCTAACAGTCGGTTGGACTTTACTCCGTTCACTCTCACCGTGTCTGCAGCTAATTTAACAAAAGCAAAATCATCTCACAGCAGCCTGCTGTAGTCTGTAGTCTGCATTATTTTTTACGGAACTCTCATTTATTATTTTCTGTTTGTTGTGTTTGTATTAAATGCGTTTGTAGGCTGTTGGTAAAGGCTATGGCTCACTATGTGGACTGGTAGATCTCGGCAGACTGGTAACTTTAAAAGTAGATCTTGGTTCAAAAAAGGTTGGGCACCCCTGCGTTAGTGCATAACTCAGCATTGTTCAGTTACGTATAACACGTAAAGCTCACTTTTTCAGTTCATTCCCCGTCCACGAATCCCTCGAATTCTTCTTCTTCAGTGTCCGAATTGAACAGTTGGGCGAGTACGGCATCGAACATGCCCGGCTCCCTCTCGTCATTATCCGAGTCAGTGTCGCTGAGCGCCGTGTACAACCAGTATGGATCAACCAATTAACCAATTGATCCATATATAAGGCGCTCCGGATTATAAGGCGCACTGTCGTTTTTTGAGAAAATTAAAGACTTTTAAGTGCGCCTTATAGTGCGGAAAATACGGTAAATTACTTTTTTACCTTTTACCTTAGGAACTGCTGTCATGGCGATCTTCCCTAATGTTTATGTGGCCATGATAATGATCAGTGGCATGGGCATCATCTCCATGAGTATTTCCTACTGTCCCTATGCATTGCTTGGGCAGTACCATGAAATTAAAGAGGTAAGTACACACCTACAGTAGACATGAACTCTGTCCCTACCTATCCATACACCTCCGATAGAAGCCTGTATTGTATTTTTTTATTGATCTACATTAGATCTACAACAAAAAAACATTTGTTTATTTTTCTGTGTCATTTTGCCTAAATACCTCAGGATAGGCTTTGCAATGAAAACACTTCGTTTTTATAAAATCGCTTAAAATTGACTCACGAACACTTCTTTCTCCTCAGTACATTCACCACAGTCCAGCAAACACTAGAAGAGGTTTTGGTATCGACTGCGCTATCTTATCCTGCCAAGTGAGTATATCTACTTCTCTCTATAAGATAAAAAGATAAAATATCCCATTAGCTCTAAACTCAAACAGTTTGAGGACGATCCTCTGTTGTTCAGCTTAGAGCCATCACGGTTTAGTCTGTGGGCTCTTGTCTAACAATTCTGTGTTGAATTATTCAGTTTTGTTTCATGACCAGGTCTATATCAGCCAGATTTTGGTTGCATCAGCCCTCGGAGCTGTGGTAGAAGCAGTCGGCAGTGTGCGTGTCATTCCTGCAGTGGCCTCTGGGGGTTCCTTCCTGGGCTTCCTTACAGCCTGTTTCCTGGTCATTTATCCTGATGTGGAGCCCAGCAGCTCTGAGCAGGACCAGGTGGTGGTGGGTTTATCTGGAGATTCAAATGGAGACAGGACCAGTGAGCAGAGGTTGGCTCTGTTGAACCTCACAGATGGAGGTAGTTTGAAGAAGATAGAGAATCACTCTGTGGCCTGAGTGTGAACATGTAAAGAAATAGTCATGAGCCGTTTTCACATATGCACTCTGGATAATATCTAGATATTTACTGGAGGACTTCTCTGGACATTCTCCCGACCTAGCCGTTCACATATGCTCCTCACAGCGGGGGACTTTCCCTGTCAAAGGGGAGGGGTCACCACATGTGGGGATTACTCCAGCTGCTTTCAAATGTAACAGCCTGTGACTTTAATAACTTTTACTTTGAAAGACAAAGAGTTGACGAAGTATCTACACAATGGGAAGATTTTCATCTTCCTGGAGAATGAAACTGACATAAAACTCTCTAAGGCTGCTCTACTTGTATTTTGCTACCTCAACCCTTAAAAGAGAGGTAAAAGTTCAGATGGCTGGACTGAGAAAAGTCAGTCATTAAAGCACAAAGATCCACATGACACTGAATTGGTCTGATTTTTGAAACAAGGTTAGCTTAGACTTCTGAAACAAACATACGCTTTACTTTCAAAAGCAAAGAGGGAGGCACACAGAGCACTTTCTGTCTCACCCCTGAAGCTGCAGAATGATGTTAACTGTGACATTTCATTTCAGCTGCTCTATAATTGCATATTGAACAATCGTAAATTTGTCAAATGACCATTTTTGTACTTCTACAATATCCAGTGACTGATACAGATGCAAGCATTTGTTCCAGGTTGTTTATAGAAGGCCTTGATATATGATGTTTTATAAATCCACTCTGCATTTGTTGTGCACACCAAACATTTTTCTAAATGTCATACCATTTTTTATATTCACATTTAAGAGGTGTTTAAGATGTTGGATCCTGTTAAGAAATTCACTAGTGTGCAGTTAAAAGTGCTGATTTTTTGTTCATGCCTGTACTGAAAGACGGAACTCTGAATGCCATACTCTCTTATTTTGCAATAATATACAGGGGACATTTGAATATAATTTAGTTAAATGATAACACAACGGTTGTTTATCATGGCCTCTAAGATATAACCTTGATTGGTTTTTGGTTTTAGTGTTATTTTTTTAAACAGGGTGGTCTTAATTTTGCTTTCTTGTGATCTATTCAAGAAATGTTTTCACCTTTACATTCCAAATAGAGTTAAATTGGTTGATATGTTCCAAATCAGCTCATGTTCATTATTGCATGTTGGGCAAAATGATAGAAATGTGCTGATTATATCTTTAAACAACTGTAAAAGCCTTGTAAAAAAAACAAACCGGGTCCTGTGGTATAATAATAGCTCCCATACTGCCATGTTGTTTCAGCCTACCTCAGAATAACGAACACAAGAGCCAGCAGAGAGGCCGTAGATGATTATTGGGACCATTAAGCAACCTGCAAAATAATGTTTTGCATGGTCTCTGCCACACTTTAACATACTGGCAGCATCATAAACCTACCACAGTGTTCACAGAGTAATAAGCTACTTGTTAACAAGAACGGGATAGTCTCCCATTCCTTTAGTAGAACAGTAACACACTTGAGTGTGGAGTAAGTGCACATTTGTCAGAGCACCTTTAAGTTAGCTAAAAACAACTATTTCTTTAATCAGGACGCTCAAAAAAACTGTCATGCTGCCTTTTGAATTGTAGCAAGGAGCAAGTACTGTAATATGCAAGGCAGTGGACTGACCTATGCAAACTTGAAATTCCCTTTATTGGGGCTTTATGACCAAATCAACCACTTGCTACTGCTTTGGGAGTAGCAAAGGAGCCTTCAGTTGCCTTTCCTCGCTCTATGTTTTTTTTTTTTTCAGCTCAGAGGAAATAAGGCATTAAGACATTGTGAAAACATTGCACAGATTGTTTTTCATATAGCATAACATTGTCTACCTTTATAACCTGGTTGAGAGAAAGGTGCCATTTGTTTTACATTTTCACAGCCTGCTGAACAAGCACTACAAGGGAACATCAGGATGTTGTGACATTTTTAAAGAGATAGTGTTTGGAACAAACAAAAGAAAGTTTGATAATTTTTTCACTAATTTGTATGCAAATAATGCAGAGATTATGCTGGGTGTACCATTGTGTTCTTTGGAAATTGTCCTCAGCCTTTGAAAATATGCCTCTGACAGAACTGGCATATTGAAGTTATTTTGATTTTATGCTGATGTTAAATGAAAATCACTGTTCTGGTTTGAAAGTCATGCACTGGCATGTTATTGTAGTGATCGGAGGTTCTCTTTGCTGCTGTACAAAGTTTATTCAAGGAAAATCAGGTATTTTTGTACCAATTTTGAAAGAAGACAAAGAATGCACCTTCGCTTGTGTCTGTGTATTTTTGACTATCACACATGCTACATGTAATCTTTATAAGCTGTTTTCCATACACTATCCAATAAACAACAGGAAATCAACCTTCAAGTTAGACTAATAAAGGGGACAGAATTATCAGCTATGAAATAGGATTCAACTCACAACACTACATAAAGAAATGAAGGCTACTTGGACCAGTGACCAGTGATTTTACAGTAAACTTATAAAATCCCATATGTCAGAATATTTATAACAGCTGCAGATTCTCAAAGCTCATGAGAAATAACTCCTTAACATCATCATGTACATTAAACAGCTTGCAAGGAGTTTTTAAATGAAACACTGAGCTAGAAGAGCTAACCAGACCATAATTAACAAGATTGACTATTTCTTTATAGTTGTTTTAATGCTGCTAGAGGGTAGTAGTCAGACTAAACCATTTATAACCCCCCCTTTCATTTACCCCCTATGATCAATGCATTTGATTTAAAAAGATGAATATATTTGATTTAAAAGAAATCAGGATGAGATTTATCCCCAGAAAACACTACTTAAGATGTACAGGTTAAGATATGCAAATAGATCTTTAGAGCTCGAGCTTTATCTACCATTGGTGCCAATATTTACAGAAAGCAAAAGTTTTTAAATGTGATTCCTTATCTAGTTGCTTTTTAAACATTTTTATCTCTACAAGTTGCAAGGAATACCATGAAAATAATAACTCAATAATCACTACTATATTTAGAGTTATTAATGTAAAATTTCTAAAAATAGATGAACAAAACAGACAAGCAATATTCTTTCAAATGGCATCTATGTTTCAATAAAAGGTTGTCATACTGTATATATTATTTATTTTGACTGGATAAACTGAGATAATACTCAAAGATACTTGTTTTAACATACATGCCACAAACAACAATGTAAACTCATGTTTTTATATTTCTCCATTGCCTTTTTGTTCCAAAACTCATAAACACACATTGAGGTCTGTCTCTGTCTCTTCTGCATGTTAATACTCAATTCCTAGCACTAGCACCACCTTGAGGCCAGTATGGGGTGTTCAGAATCCAAATTGCCGAAGATTTGACGACTCGCATTAATGTATTTAATTCCATAGTTTTCATCAGAATTCATCCAAGCAAGCAAGCAGGAGGGCATAGCCTTCACATAAGTTGTTTTTTATTTTTTTTTTTTTTTTTTTTTTACAGAAATTCCGCCACATCGGTTTTAATAAAATGTAGCCTATATCCTTGCAAAATATGCAAAAACATGAGCCTAATTATGTTAAAAAATATATAAGTTGCATGGCCTTCTTTTTCTTGGAGGCCACCATCTTTTGTACTTATATATAACATCTGCATTGTTCTATTCCGCTTCCTCAGGTCGTCAGTGCGCATGATTGTACATTCTCTCTCTCTCTCACACACACACACACACACACAAAAAAAAAAACAGGAAGCAATGTGACAGCCTGTAAACACCGGGATGAGCTCGTGCCATTCAGTAACGCCGGTGTGTAGGCTACTTTCCAGACGGAGTCGTATTACCTGCCGACTGCTGTCATGAAAGCGGAGGGGGATGATTGAGGAGTCGCACGGTGGTCTGTGAAGAGGTGAGTCAATTAAAAATGAGTTATGTGTTGATAATAGTTAATTTAAACAGAAACTGCCTATCGTTGAAAAGTCGTGTACTCGCTATAGGCAATAAAACATGTGGTTAAGTAAGTTAAAGAACAGGTTTAACTCGCTAAACTTTGCTATACGCTCATTGTCTGGTTAAATAATATTATTTGATTATATAATGGTTTGGAGGCATGCAACAGAAGAGTCATATTTGTAACAGTCAGGGGTTTGAAAGTAACACATTACACTTGGCTTACTCATTGAATGGCAAGAAGTTTCACTTTTTTTGAGAAGGTTTTGAAATAATAACTTTCATTTTTTTTGGGGGGGAGTATTGTATTTCGCTACATTTGAAATAGCATAAGAGTAAAAAAAGATTAGATATAAGCTTTCCCTGAGCCTACGTGAAACTGGCCTGTTGATTGGCCCATGTGACCTCAGGACGGTCAGGAGCATACAAGAGTAATGAGTTTACCCCCCCTCATGTATAAAAGGAGCATACTCAGTAGCCTACTTTTACTTTTACTTCTACTTTTACTTTTAAACGATAAAATGTTTTACTTTTACTTGAGTGTAGGCTATAGGATATATTGGTAACAGCGCTTATACTTTGATACAATATTCTTGTATTCTCAGTTGTGGAGACATTGTTGCTTTGGTTCACAAAAGTGTGACATTGATTTATCTTGATACACTGAAACCTAAATAGGTGAATTAGCTAACACATTTCTTGGGTGTTATTTCAGTAAGTGCCAGTGAACTATTTTAGCTATGCCCTAACATAACAACTGCAACAACCAATACACACTGTATTTCCTGTTCAGGAGAGGTTCTGAATAGCTGCTCTCTCTCTCTCTCTCTCTGCATTGAAAGTAACAGAGTGATATAGGTGAGGTAGGTAGGTAGTGGAGAAATTACAAATACTCTTCTCATCTCTTCTGTGTGAATGCCTGTCTGTTTTTCCAGCCTGAGTTTCCTGTTCGGTAAGGGCACATTTCACATAATTTAAGCCTCACCACTTACGTTCTGATTGTTGTGTTCATGGCTTTAACTGCACTGTGATTTTCTGATTAGATGTCAAACCTCTAAACATTGCATTGAAAAATACATTTAATTGTATGATGTGGATTTTTTTCCTGTTTCAAGGATAATATAATGGTTTAAACAGCATGGTGATACTGTTACATCCTTGGATGGTTAATGAAGGGAAGGCAGCAGGTCATGGGATCTGCTCTTTTAATGGTTATTAGTTGATTTATTCTGGACATTCTTGCTGCTGATTGGATATGAAGTTATTTAAACTCCTTATTAAGGGAACATTGTAAACACATCAACCGTAATGTTTGAGTATACTTTGTTTACTGAGCACTTGAAATCATTTTGTGCAGCTCAGCTTAGGGGAAAATATATATAATACGTATTCCTTGACTGACACACTGCAGTGGAATATATAATAATAACTGCATGTAATCTGCAATCCTCTGGAAAATAATGTCAGAATCAGGTTGTTGCTTGTAAGCGTAATATTGCAGATGAGTATTTTCTGTACTCTGTACTAATGATCCTGTGATGGAAAATGTCTGACTGAGTCGTTAGAAGTTGTTGATAAGAGTAGTGATAATGTTGTTCTAATGCAGATCTTTAAAGAAGACTGAAACAACAGCCTACACATTATTAACAGACCAGTTTAAACAAATGTGAAGTTTATTTTCTCACTATCTGCCCTTCCTCTTTCGTCTCTGTTATTTGCAGCTTTTATTCAACAGTCCTGATCTGGTGCCGGTGATGGCCGATCATCTGCCTCCTGTCCTGCTGGAAGCCTGTGTGGTGGTTGGAGCATCAAGTGAAAAACTCAGGGAGGTTTACCAGGTATTTACAGTCAAACACAACCCTAGGAATATATAGTATAAAAATGATGTGGACTGAATGATGTTAATAAATATTCCATGTGTCAAACCTAAAATTAGTACAGTGTCCTCATCCTTCGTTTACTATTTTTGTTTCAGACCATTAACAACAATGGAACTTCAGAGCTGCCCCTGTTGGAGCCAGAGGTACTGCATGTCCTGGCGCCTCCCTTCTTTAGCCGACCTCGAGCTGAGAGCGAATCATTGAGGCCGAATGGAAAGAAGAGGCGCGCCTTTCTCAGAAAGAAGAAAGAAAAACCTCCTTCATCTGCAGGAACTTCAAGCTTAGGTATCTGCCTGTCTGATTTTCTTCACACATGCCACTCAACATATCTTCAAATGCAAAACATCTGTGCAGCCAAAAATGTGTTGCTTTCCTCAAGGTGTCTGATTTGTCCCTGGTCTTAATTAGCCTACGTTGTCATCAGTGATTTGTGTTTGATTTGTTTTGTATCATGGTAGCCCCAGGAAGTGAAGATATCGGTGTTCCTAATGACAACGACCTCATGGCTTTACCTCAACTCTGCTTCCCAGGTATTATTCAGTGTTGTCAAAACACTCATGTGTATGACTGGTGTATGCATTATAAGCACAAAGAGAAAGAAAAATATAAGAATATAATACTTTTAAGTTGACTTGAGACTTAAATTTGTCTGTGATATTTGATAAATCTTTCAACTTTCTAACCCCTGGTCTAAAATGTTAGGATGAAGTTAAGAGTTTTATTATCATCACATATCTAAAACAAATGCACTTGTCATCCATAGCGACCACTAAAATATACATCAACGTTTCAAAAAATGTCTTTGTTTATTTGTGATGTTTTTATGTGCATAAACTCAGTAGTATAAAGTAACCATCTTTGAATTTTCGTATTCGTCGCTTATGTGTCAACTTGTTCCAATATTTATTTCTTTTTACCAGGTGGGCTCAGAGTAACCAACAAACAGGAAGATGAACAATTCCACTTCTTGGTTTTCACTGATGTCTTTGGCAACAAGTCTCACGGAGTTGTAATGCAGTGTTACCGACCAATACTGGTACATGTAATACTTCACACACCTTCACACAGTGTACCTTAATCCAAAACCTGTTTTACTACAACCAGATCATATAACCGTATACATCATACAGCTGCCATGATCACTGGAAATTTCACCAATCAGCAGTAACATTTACCCAAATAAAACCAAATGACTGTCATATTTGTTTGTTTTACAGAAAGGTTCATCTGTCCTAGAAAACAGAGCTGGGTCCTCTAAGTTTTCTAAGCTTTTCTCTGCCTACAGTATCTGTGTGATATCCAAGTATCCTTACTTTACAGCACTCAAAGACTGTCTGTCATGGTGAGAAACAGGGTACCAAAGCAAACTGCATGGCTTTTGAATTGATTTAGTTTTATCTTATAAAACACACTAGGAACACGTGCTGTTTACTTATGTCCAGTTTAGCCACATTTTCTGTTAAAGTAAATGCTAAGATATTCCCGTCAACAGGCTAGTGTGTTTATCCTGCAACATGTAATAATTTAGCTAAATCGTTTTTGAATAAAGAACAAAATAAATACTATCTTTATCTTTAGTTCTGTAGGTATTATATCATTAATAGTTTTAACCGATGTGTCTTATTCATATTCTTTGTGTCTTCCTCAGTCTGTTGATACAGCTGAGAACGTGTCCTTTATCCGACATGGAGGGGAGAGTAAGAGAGTTTGCAGCTAAACTGGCGCTGGTGCCTATCCCCCCTCCTGGAACACTACATCTGGTGTGTGTGTGTTGTGTGCATTTGATAGTTATTTAAAGACTCTGATAGATTTTGTGTGGATAGTTTTTGTAGTTTTAGCATTTCTCCTGGAAATGTAAACATTCATTAAATCTTTGGCTAGAAGTTATTGATTGACTTTGCCTGATAAAACAGTCTTGTCTATCATACAGTATGCCGTATTAGCGGCAATAGCAGCAGCATACTTGTGTATTTGTATGCATATTAATTTCAATTTGTGTTTTAGTATGCAAACTTTTAACATAGCGTTTATTTTGCAGATGTTTACCCTCCGTCCTCTGACCATTGTGTTACCATCCAGAGAAGACAAAGACCACGTAGCTATAGATTTAGACCTCCATCTGCCTTTCCTCTGCTTCAGACCACAGCAACTACTGCAGGTATTACACACACTGGTTGTGTTAATGCTTTCCAAACAAAGGGGAGGCTCACATTAACTTTCAGGTCTCTTTTCATGTCTGTTTTTTTTGGTCTCTGTTTTTGTAGGTGATGTCTGGTCTCCTGCAGGAGCAGCAGGTGGTTTTATTTTCTGCTGACTGGGCAAGACTCACTCTGATGGGAGAGAGCTTGTTGCTTTTTCTGCAGGTTGGTGAAATAATGTCTGCAAAGAGTACAATGGTGCTTGATATCATCAAGGTTTATCTTAAATTTAATTCAACTCTGATATGTAAACTACTGTAAAAATTAAAATTACTTTTCTTTCCTTATTAATCACATTTTTGATAGATTAATTCTTGATTAAGTAATTTTACCAACCGCCTCTCATGACTTTTTTTTCCAGCCGTTATCATGGCAGCAGCCTTATGTTCCTGTGCTGGCCAGAAGCATGCTGGACTTCCTCATGGCTCCGACTGCCTTCCTAATGGGCTGCCATCTTAGCCATTTTCAAGAAGTTGCTGATGTGAGTTTACAATCAGTCAAAAGAGTTAAAACCGAAAGCAGAGGAGACTATTATTTCATCAAAGACTAAAGCAAATGGAAGTAAAGAGTGATGTGTTGAGAATGTATTAAACCTAAAGTATAAATCGTTGAATTGAATCCCTGACCACTGAATTTTTATCACATTTATCCTCTAGTTCTGAAATTATAATGAAAAAAGTGAGTGAGGTCATGCTTGTTGCTATCTTAAAGGAGTTCTATGTAGCTCTGACACAGCAGTCCAAATTTAAAACAGAGAGATGTCTCCTCCTCCTCCTTCCTGACTAGAGCCAATACGCATGTGAGTTGTCATATCCTGGACACTGAAGCTTCAGTGTTTAGCCAGCTCTGCATTAGTCTTGAAAACGTTCTAAAGTCTAACCTCTTCATTTTTCAAAAGCCTAGTTTTACCACGTTTCTGGTCGTGGAGCTTATTAGAAAAATGTGGAGGCTTTTAAGTTCGGGTAGAATCTGTTATATCTGAAGCAGTTTACTTGACTGCTTCCATCGCTGCAACACCTGTTGATTTGCCATTTTCCTGGCAAACAGAGAGGTGTCCAAAATGTCTGATGAGAGATAGAGTAAGGTCATTTTATGATTTAATTCAGTAGATATCTTACAGATTGATCCTTTGAGCCAAGCTTGTTCACAGCTTGTTTTCATTGCGTTTAAATACATGTTTAAATCAGCAGCAGGCTTACTTATTGCTTGACCAAATTTAAGTCACTGATCCATTTAATACTTTGCATTGAATTTAACTTTGATTTCTTGTTAGTCCTGCTCTTAAATCTTGCCTAAAAGCTTAAACATTATAATGTATTTGCTTACATCAGGAATGTACAAGATAGTGACCAAACCAGATGGAAATATTTATATTATTATTTATCTGTCTTCTTCCAGGAAATAGATGATCTGATCCTAATAAACATTGATAAGGGAAGTGTCACTACTTCTCATTCTGAGACTCTGGGTCTGCCAGAGATTCCCCAGGCTGCTGCGGAGTGCTTCATACAGAGGTACTCAGAGTGCACATTTACAACTTTTCTAATTCAGTAACCTTACTTTTTTTTTTTTTTTCCAAACTTGGCAAAGATAAAAAATAAATTCTGTAAGTGTCTGCACACTATGGCTGTGTTTCTACAGGTGTCAGTCCCTGCAGATTCACTTCGACCTGCATCAGTGCAGCAGTACGAGCTGTACAACATCAGTGAGCAGCGAGCAATGAGAAGAGCGTGGCAACACAACCTCAACCACGACATCCAGAGGTTCACACTGGAACTGATTGTCAACATATTCAGGTTCGGTTTTTGTTTACTATTTATCGAATGGGATTGTTCTACTAAAAAACATTTCTAACATACAGTATACTTTTGCATATTTAACAGGGATGTTGGCAGTCATCTGAACTATGAACATCGAGTTTTTAACAGTGAAGAGTTCCTGAAATCCAGAGAACCATCTGAACAGCTGTTTTACAAGAAGGTACACTCATTTAACAATAAAAAATAAGTGAGTTATCTCGTGTTTCAGAAAAATCTTTAAATTACCGTGGCTGTGTTGCAGGTGTTGGAGACGCACATTTTTCATTTCTTCCTCAAAGATCGCCTCAACAGGAAAATGGACGACTTTGCTCGAATGGAACTCATCACTCGTTCTGAGACTCAGAAGTAACTTATTCAAATGATAATATTCATCAAATTATTTTGATATATAATTCTCTTGATATCCTGATATTCTGTCCTCATGGTATGCCTAATACATAAAAAGCACCACTGCCTATAGCCTTAAAAAAGACAAGTGGTATACACTCTTCATATTCTTATTTAGCTTCAAAAGTACCCAGAAAATCCATTGAATCGTTCATGTGTTCAATAGGATGAAGGCTCTGGTTGAAGTCCCACGCAGACCCACCATGCAGGAGATTCAGGCTCGAAGAAAAAGCTCCGTCACAGAGAAACATCTTAGTAAAAGACTGGGGATGAGCCTCCCTAACCTTAGAGACGATCAAGCCGTCAGCTTCCAGAAGAACACACTGCCAAACAGGATCGTCATATCTGAGACTGGTGAGACTGGATGAAAGGTTGTGTATGACAGAAGAGCAGTTTGTCAAGATTTAGTTGAAAAAGCTAGATTATAAAAGGAAAATATTTAAGTTTACTGTTTCTCTCCCTTACCTCCGCATATATTTCTCTCTCTGCCCTTCCTGTTTCTTGGTTTCTTAGCCCCGAGATCTCCTCCTAAGCCCATACAGATGTTTAAGCTTCCAGATTTCCCAGCCTCCCTATCCTTTCCCTCCATCCAAAGTTACTACCATGAACTGATCCAGCAGCTGGGCAAGACCATTTTCTCTGCCCAAAACGAGAATCCTTCTCTCCTGGCCAGGTAGTCTGCTTTTTTTCCTTTGCCTTCTCTTTTCATTCTTAGTACATTCTCTCTACACCACACGTCTGTTAACATCTCATGGTCATATTTTCAACTTTCAGGGATTTCTTCCCGCCACTCCTCTGAAAATTAACCAAAGGCTTGAGTATAATCGTTTACAATCTGCAGATTCTACTACCTGCGTGGTTTCATCAACACACTGTGTTCTCGGCGGCTTGATGCCTTGAGTGACTTCCAGAACCTCTACAAGACAGACACCGCCATCTTCCCCACACAGCTGGTCACTTGGCTCGTGGACTCACTGCACCGAGATGAGAGACATCAAGCCAATCCTGAGCTCAAGAGACTTATCCTCAAGGTCAGTTAAAAACGTTATTCCCGTCCCAATTGAAGTATAATGGGTGATGTGGCAAGCAGTGGTGGCTGGTGCAATGTTCTCCAAGGGGGGTCCAATTTCTCACAGATGGACCGGGATGTATATCTTATTTTGTTAGCTTGATGGTAACACATTATTACACTGGAAATGGCCATTGTGGAGACAAACCTAAAAAATGTGCCGATTTGTCATGCTAGTCTGGTCTGCTGCTCTGGTCTATCTTAATTAACAATCTATGCTCTGAGCCAGGGACACTGCATGCCTCGTTCTTCATGTCTCAGTTCATGGGACATATCCCTCTGCTGCATACTTTTGTGTTGTGGTGTGTAATGCATTCATGGGCGCATTTTTCCTGTGCCCCTCTATGCTCCTACCTCTCGGAGCAAATGCACATGTGCAAATTGTAATGAGAGCCAAGGGAAACAAGTCCCCATTTATACCTTTAAAACTACATTTTTATTGCAGATTATACTTTATCTTATTGAACTTTCTCTCACTTGTCAGGTGAAGACGGAGAACGAGAAGCAGTCAGTTCAGCCTGATGACCATGTCAAGAAGTTTGAGCTTCCCCGAAAGAGTCTGCACCAGGAGGAGTTTGTGCGTTGTGTCCAGGAGTGTGGCATTATAAAAGATATGGCAACAATACACCGTCTGTTTGACGCTCTCAGTAATGGTAAGTGAGGACAGGACAGCTGATGTGTGTTTGTCAGTCATGACTTTTGATATCTGGTATTTTGTTAATTGTACAGAGCCCTTTACAAGTTATTGTACAGATGCTGTTTTTTTTTAACCAGCAATAAAAATGAAACATGTAACAATCAGTGATTCACTTTCCAAATCCTAAATCACACTAAAAGACTTGTACATATAAATGACATTTTTTTCCTATTTTCTTCTACTAACCTCTTCATTAGTTGTACACTGACTTAGTGGACACCATAATTACCTTCTCCAACAGTATTACATGAAGAATTTAGAATGATAATTTTCACTTGTTGCGGACATTATGGAATCAGGCAGCTTCAGATGATTTGTTACAGTCCATTAATAATCTGTAAGTGTGTAGTACAGTCTGTACAGCACACGATCTTCAGTGCAGGTTTTTAATTGGTGCCCATCACACATAAATGCAAACAAATTCTTTAAGTTGAGGGTACAGATGCATAGTGAATGAAAATCTAATTTATTTTACCTATTTATCATCAGTCAAATCGAACACTACAGACTAAGTATTTTTTCTAACCTGATTCAATGTTAGTGTTGGTGATTATTTATGTCTTTTTAAATACTGTATGTCATCTCGTTTTTTCCTAATCTTTGTTTCGATTTTCCTTAATGAGTAACACACGAAGAAATGTTCACACTATTCTGATCTATTTTAGATGTGTAGGATTATGTGCATTTTCACAGCTTGTAATTGTACAGGGTACAATTTTTTTCCCGGCTCAACGTATCTTGTACATGTTTGTGTGTCTGCTTGCATCTCATGGTAATATGTTTGATTTTCTCTCCCAGGCCAGCCAAAGCATGTGGACCATGAACTCTTCAAACTTTTCTACAGCTTCTGGAAGGACATGGAAGCAGAGGCAAAAGATCCTAACTTGCCCTCTGAGGTCATAGATCATCTTGGCTATAGCGAGTGTGTGTACAAGTTGTCGTCGTGTGTCAAGACCTCTCATGGTGTTGGTAAAATTGCCATGACACAGAAGCGTCTGTTCTTGCTTACAGAGGGAAAACCCGGATTTCTGGAAATCACAAATTTCAGAAACATACAGGTTAGGGTCCCTTCCCTCCCAAATATGGTTAAGTTTAAATTGCATTTAATAACCATGCAGTTTTATTTCAAATAAACAATAATGGCTAACTCTCCCCTCTCTGTATAGGAGGTGAGGATTTCCACGGCTCCTTTTCTACTCGTTCGTGTTCCTTCCCTTCGTATCCAGACCTCTAGCAGGCCTGAGGTGTTTGAGGCCAACTTGAAGACAGAGGCTGAACTCTGGAACCTAGTTGTAAAAGAGATGTGGGCCGGACGCAAGATGGCCGACCAACACAAGGTGCAACAAAGTCTGCTCAGAGATCCTAATATATTTTGGCTGGACCTGCCACATTTCCCTCCAGTCCAACAAAAAGGGTGTGTGTCATGGGTTTGTTCGGTAAAAAACAACATTCATTTGGCGAAGAGGGAACCGGAGCTTAAAACCAACCACATAAACTTTCTAGAATGTTTCAGTTACTTTGAATTAAAGATGGAGAGAATGTGTGTCGAGGTCTTTCCTGCTGCTGGCTAGGTACATGGTGTTGACAAATGCTGCATGATTTCTTAACAAGATCACTAAAGAAATGACTTTTAAGTATATCAGTTTGTCATTTCACTTTCCCTCTTGTGTGAAAACTGAACAAAAAAATAACATGTGGTTGATTTTTTTTTTTTTTTGTTGAGGACCCTCATTATATGACTCAAGCCCTGACCAATGTCCTCTTAATGGATGCTGTTGTGGGCTGCCTGCAGACTCAAAGGCCAATCATTGCTGCCTCAAAGCTGGCCTACTTCGATCAGATCAAACAAAAAGGTAAGGGCTCACTTTTTTACCTTGTTTTGTTATTTTAAAAAACTTTTTTTGAAGTGCTAGAAAATTGTGCAGAAATCCAAATATCTAACGGTCCAAGGTCACTGTTCACCAAACAACATTATAAAGCAAAAAAAGACTTTTACTTGGACCCAGCTAATGTATGTCATTTTTTGCTCGATAAATTACTTAAGCAATTAATGAGTTATCAGATAGCTCCCAGATAACTTCATGTGAAACATCTATGCACTTTTAGCTCAAATTCCTTCTCTCTTCTTTTTCTTTCTCTCCTGTGTGTCTTTTACTACCGTCTTTATTCATCATCCTTTCCTTTTTGTATATTTTCTATATAGTATCATCTCATATCGTATCATTTTTTTATATATATAATATTTTCCTCTGACTAGTCCCCATAAAGGTGTCCCAAACTACCTCAGACACTCTGAAACACAAGATCAACCCGTCACTGGGCCTGGCTGAGCCTCAGACTGTACATGTGCTGCTTTATACACCAGGTAATCTCTCTCTCTCTTTGTTCTCCTTTAAAAACCTGCTTTAACACAGAATACAATACCTCTTTGTGTTCATATATAAACTGTTCTTTACACTTCAAATCATCAAAGACGTTCTGTCTATTGATAATCAGTTTATGTGTGTTTAATGGTAATCAGTGTTCACACAACAGAACCCTGTCTGAGCAGATGAATCATCATGTGCTTTACATTTTCTGTAGGCTTTCTTCTCTCTAATTGATTGACTGTGGCGCTGCATGCCTGCTGTAAACCTAATTTCAAAGTCACAAGACACAAACTGTGAAATTATGCTGTGTTGTACCAAGTTATAATACTCTAATGCTAGAATGAAGGTCATAGTAAGGACAAATATGAAACCGTAAACAAATGTGTTCCTGTGCCACTATGATTAGTTTCAATCTAAACCAGTGATTGCTCACTTGTAAACGTTGTTTGTATGTGAACAGAAGCTCCAGTGACATGTATCCACATAACCTGATGGACCGTAACAGCTTCCTTGTTAGTCTGTGATTTGTTTACACCGTCGCTCTGAACAAAAACATCTTAGTTGTTGGTTTAAATGGATAACAGTGTTCAAAGAAGTGAATATAGCAGATCAAGATTTGAAGAAGTGGAAGAGGCAACAAGAAGCTGAAGTATGCCCTGAGTAAGAGGGTGATGAATCAATAAGCTATTTATAACGTGTTTATTTGGACAGTGGAAAAATCCCAAGAGGCTAAATGTTTTAATTCATTATTTTAAGAAACTATGTTCTCGTCTGTAAGAAATGTTTCCGCGCTGTGTTGTCTCTCTACACTAAAAACTTTGTTTGACTCATTTTTTTTGTTTTTTAGTTTGTACTGCAGTCAGCTCTCACATTTCAATGGTCACTGCTCTCCCCTTTTTCTTCCCACTTTCTCCAGGTCAGTTGACCAGCGATGACTCCAAGGCTGTGATGAACCCGAAGTTGTGGGTTGCTCTCAGTGGGGGCAAACTGGTTGTATTTGATGCAGCGAGCTGGTCCATGCTGCAGGACTGCATCGAGGTCGGACAGTTGCAGCTGGTAAGGACGGCGAGCTGTACTCTGTTTCTAGAGTTAGATTTTATTCAGAGAGAAACTTCACCAAGTTTATACATCACGATCTGTTTGAGGAGAGAAGTGCTACTGCACATGTGAACAAATGTTGTTTGAAAAGTTACATGGCTCCAATTTCCACCACAAATCACATCACTTGAGGTACGTTTGTTGTGGCTGAAGAAAAGTCTGAGGGTGCTGGACCTCTTTAGCCCTCTCCTTAGGTCTACTTGTACACCTCTACACTACTTGCCTACTGTGTAGGTGCTTCAAATTACATTAGAAGCCCCAGGCATAGCTGTGACTAAACCGGCGCTGAAGTTGCAATGTTGGTAATGTAGCCTCTCAATTTAGACAAGCAGGAAAATACCTGGAATACAAGAGACAGTACCTAGTTGGAATCTTACAAAAGTGTCACAGTGTTTATTTTATGTCACATCTTGCCTCCTGAGAACCTCCCCCTTCCTCCCATCCCACAGGGGAAACTTATGTGACTAAGTAAGACTTCAGGGGTTATTTATGTTGTTTTTTTTTAACTTGATACGTTTCTATTTTTCTTTCTTGTTTTAGGTAAATGCTACATTGTTGCTGTTTTAGAATAGTTGAAATCTTGAAATCTCTGTAGAGTGAGAAAACAAGCACACTGTATGTTCTACACATTTAGAAATGTAAAATCTATAAATGACATTTTATACATGATTGCTGTCCTTGATTCAGTATGTCTCCCATATCCTAAATCAAGGAAATCTGAGATCTAATGTGCATCTTATTTTGTGTAGAACTGCATGCTGGGAATGGAGGGGCAGGTGTGGATCGGCTCTCAGGACTCTGTCATCTATATCATCGACACTCACAGCATGTCATGTAACAAACAGCTGACTGAACACAGACATGAAGTGACTGGACTCACAGCGGAAAACAGAGCTCAACACAACAGGTAGAGACTTGATGTCACTGTTTGTCAGCTACATGGGATTAAACATTAAAAGCAGTCGTCTAACGGTGTGAATGGATGTGTTGTAACACTGTAAAAGCATGTGTGAATCATTCATCGTCATAAATAAAAACCTTGTTTCAGTCAGCAGACATACTCGTGCAGCAGTGATGGGACGATTCTGCAGTGGGACTCAGCCAGTCTCAAAGTGAAGCGAAACCTCCACCTCAGCTGTGACTTTCTCTCCTCCATTCAGATCTACGATGGTACACTGTGGTGCTGTAAGTGCAACAACTGTTTCCCCTTTGTCACTTCAATAACAAATAGTTGTGTTTCATTGCTCTCCATGGAAAGCTTATTTTGCTGCTGACTCTTTGTCTGTCAGTGTGGTTTCTTACTTCCTACTATAATATCCCTGCAGTCCTCATTATAGTATAACCTAAATGGCAGCTACATTTTAACACATGGCAGGAAAAGCTGATAAAAAAATGTGAACATAAGTATTTATGTGCAGGCTGCGGGGACAGCATTGTGGAACTGAGAAAGAGTGGGACTGTACAAAGAAGGTTGGAAATTCCTGATGACCTCAAGAGCATGTCCAGTAGTTTCAGCTCTTTCGTTTTCATCCCAGAGGTAAATTTGCATCTTTAAGCTGATATGACATTTATCAGCAAAGTAGGGGTTTTAGTAGAATCCGCTGTTCCACCAGTTATTCAAGTTTGTCAATTCAAGTCAATTATTTCATAAAGTTAAATGCAAAGTTATGCAATGAGTTAGACATCTAGAAGGTAAATATGTAGCTGGAACATGATTCTATGTATTTAAATACTGTTTTCTTCTAAGACTTGGATATGCAGATATCTCCTCATTAGTATTCATTTTGTTACCAAAGCTCAGAGTTATGGTATTCATTAAAACTAGCTTGTTGTGGTTAAATTTCAGGGCCATTATTCTTTTAGCTAACATGCTTTTTTGTGTGTTCCAGCGAGGTGAGTTGTGGACAGGCTTTGCAGACTCTGGGGAGCTGTGTCTCTGGCAAACTAACAACCGCAGAAGTCCCTTTAAGAAGATCATCCTGCAGACTGTCCAGGTGTCACCTGTATGATTCGAGTCAAGGACCAGGTGAGCTTTAAAACACAAGTGTTGATGGTTTATGGGAACACAGGAGACATTGCTAATTATTTAAGATAAAAAATCTGATATTATGATTCTGATAAAATCTTAAGTAGGTCTTATACATTCCTCTTCTTCACTCATTACTTATTCACTACTATCCTTAATGCTTGCTCCTCCCCTCAGCTGTGGGTGGGCTGTCGTGGTGGGAACAGTGTTGAGGGTCAGCGGAGAAGTCAGGTATTGGTGATCGACTCGGAGAGCCAAAGTGTGACAAAGGAGCTGCAGGCCCATTCAGACAGCATCCAGACGCTCTGCTCGGCTGAGGATCGCTACGTCCTGAGCGGCTCTGCGTGTCACGATGGAAAGATTGCCATCTGGAAAGTTGAGTAGAGAACAGGAACATAGAAAGCAGAAATGATGCAGAGGTGCCACTTAAAAGGACACAAACGAGACATTCCAGGTATTTGAATGTGACAATGAGATCATTCTCATGGAGCTTGTAACCATATTTGAATGGTAATGAAATAATTTATCTGGTAGATAAGATGATTAAAAATGCCAAAGGCAGCCTATCAAAGCGACTTTTTGACACTTTTGTGGATACCAGAGCCCTTCATCAAAATATGAATGTACATGACTGACATTAAGTTTCTGACACTGGACCTTGATGATGATATAAACCTTCTACACAAGAGATATGTAAAAAAAAAAGATTTTTGTTGTACAAATGTGATTTAGTCTAGATTTCAACAGAAATTATTAAGATTTCAAAATATTGTTGTCATCATGTTTTGTGACAAGCCTTGATAATAAACAAACGTAACAAGATAATGCTTTATGATTCTTATTTTTAGAAAATGAATAGATTTCAACAACGCGTAGCTTCAGTTGGAAAAAGAACAGGTCAATGTGTTTGATTGAACTTAGTACAGCATGCCTATGATGTTGAACCAGAACACCTTTGGACACATACACACACATTAATGCCACTACATGTGTACAAAGGTTTCTCTTATATCCAGTGAAACAGTGGTGTTTAAATCAGATCAAAGTTATTCCTCATAGACTGCCTGTCAACGTGCTGCACCACTTTATGCAACAGTCTCCACTAAACAATCTACTAGATGTTGTCAAGTTACTCTTGATGTTAAAATGGGCTTCACTGCCTTAAGGTAGAAACTAATAACTGACTGACATTACTTGTGACAGCCGTGTTACCAGGCTGCACAGCCAGTGATGCCCTGCAGCACTTGTAAAGCCAGAGGATATCAGGGAGGAAATAGCCTCCAGCTAGAGATAACCAGCAGTCACACCGGATACCAACAGGTAACATCGACCACAGAGCCAGGGTACTTGTCTCAGAATGCTTTTGAGACTGTTTCTCCATTCACCTGCACGCTAGCTGGCTCAGTGATGGCGATGTGTTTCCTTTTAACGACCACACACCTGTCTTCTTCACCCATCTTCTCCTCTATTACTTCTACACCACACTCCCACCACATTTGCTAATTCACTCCTCTCTGAAAGTGTTTGCACCTCTTTTGGATACTACAAGGATTATAAAGTTCTACAAGCACTGTAAAGCCTCCTCCATGAGCAACTGAGTTCAAACTATGCCCATAACTCAGTGTTTTATTGTGTAGGTTTATTGCACATGAACATTTAGAATTTAATTACTATACTAAACACATAAAACATCTATACAGAACATGAACTGAAAGTCTGAAACTGGTTTGTTTTCTGCTGATATTTAAAATGACTAAACATGACAAGTTTGATATGTTAAACAGGACAAGGAAAAAGCAGCAAAGAAATCAAAACATTTCATTACTTTACTCGACACCAATTGATTGATTTTTTTTCCTCTTATTTTTCTTTTATCAACAAACATAAATAACTGAAACAAATATGTGGATTGTATATAAAATATTTTGTCCCAGTATTTCTACTTTCCCTGTTCTCGTACACCACTGAAACAGAGGCACTGTATATCAGCAGACAGTTCTGCTAAAAAGAAGGTGTCTTTGTATAACAGGTTAACTGTGAGTGTCAGAAGACTCATACAATACAATTTTAATTTGTGCTTATTGGGCTTTAGGGTAAAAAAATCCTATTTTTTATTGACCTGTAATTTATTTGGTTTGTCAGGATTTATAAAAATGACAATTATAATTGATGTAAAATATAAGTGCACAGTAGTGACATTTTAGGCCAGCTCTAATCTCTGTTATGAAATTGAGGGCTGGTTTTAAATCATAGATAAAGTAAAAAAGCAGCCCACTCTACCATGCTTTCTACATATAAATAACCTCTAACATAGGATCATTTAAGTTGTTGAGGGAAGAATGTAAAAAATAAATGAGTCTGCAATGACTATCAGTCTCTAGATTATCAAATGGCACATTTATAGGGATTTTGAGGAGATAGGGGGACCAATAAAAAAAACATTTCCGTCCCTGTGATTGAAAGTCCAAAGGTCACCTCAACCAAATGTGTCCATTATCTTGGATAACTGGGAAATAATCTTCAAAAAGAAATACTAAATTGGCAGATGGTGTTCCTAATATTTTGTCCACACAATTTTACATAAAAAGTACAGTTCAGTAAAAAGTAGAATTAAATCGCCAATCCAGTTTAACACAAGTTTTGACAGTAAACTGGTCAAACTGTATATCAAAAAAATAATCTTTTATTTATTTATTTATTTTGTTATTCATTAGGGAATTTATTTTATATTTTATTTCCTTTTTTGTGACATTTCTTATCCGAGTGCTGCCTTTCAGCCAATTACAGTCGTGTCCGCGGTTCATGTGACATCGCCCCCCCCCCCCCCCCTCTCGACGTCATCAATCTGCGACAATCTCTGACAGAACGCTCCATGTGAACTGGTTGTTTCACCAAAGTTACCATTAAATACAGGTAAGTCTTTTTTATCAATGTGATAACTGCTGTCACTATGACGTCATTCAGCTCGCTGCCTATGCAAAGAAACCACCTGACGGGTGAAGGAGTGAGTAGCTGCTGTGAAGCGGCGTCTCAGATATTGTCTCCACAAGGTCAGGATTTATATGTTACATGACGGCGACACCTCTCCTGTGGCTGCTCCGGTTCCCTTTAATCTCAAGATTCTGATGGTGGTTGTGTTGCTCGATGCAGAAATATCAGCTATATTGTTAATCACAGCCTGTATGTATTGTTTTTTTATTACTGCGTTATTCATTACACAACCAGGATTTTCTACAGTAAGAGTTCTGTAATTATCATGCGGAAGTTGTTGTTAGATTCAAGCTTTTAATGCTGAATTAAACTCAGAAAATGAAGATTGAGTTCATTGTCCTCGTGTTTATTTGTAACCACACCTTCTCCACTGCAGATTGGACATGGGACGGTGATCCTGTCTGCTGAACTTTGTGAAAAGCCGCCTCCTCACCTACCTGAGCCTTCTGTCTTGTCTCTGAGACCAGATGGCCAGCCGCCTCTTTGGCAGGTATGCCCGTCTGCTCTCCAGCGTCTCCTCCCAGGCGCCGTTTGCTGCTGCTGCCGCGCGCCAGCCTCCGCCTGTGGCTGGACCTGCAGCGGTGCAGAGGGCTCTGGGCTTGCAATGGAGCGCAGAGAGGTTAATGTGTGAGGGAAGGACAATCAACAAGGGAAATACTTACGCAGACATACCTGCACGCACCCACCTGGACAATTTGATGGAAAAGGCGGAAGAGCCAGAGAGCATCCTGCTGGCATGGGTAGAGCACGGAGGGAATAGTCAACAGGCTGCTAACGTCCTGATAAAGTGGAGTCAGTTGGTTCTAAAGACAAACAGCAAATATAAGGAACAACCACCAGATGAGATAAATGATCCAAGGCTACTGGATGTGATAAATACTCTAAATCGAGAGGTAAGGAAGCCTGATACAGAGGCGGACTGGCAAAGTGAAAGAAATGTTATCCGAGTTCTTTGAGCTTGACGGAAAATGTTGATTTTATTTTGTGTGTTTCTCTTCCAGGTGAATACAGTGTGGAACAGCACTCTAATGAACGTCCTGCGAGCTCTCTGGAGTTTGCGTTTCTCCAACAGTGAATCAGTAGTCACTTCTGTCCAGACGGAGGTTCTGTGGCGAATCCGCAGGCTGTCCTACAAACAGCTGGGCTTCCTAGTGGTCTGGGGGGCAAACAGGAAAGCACCGCAGGATGAGGCCATAGTGAACGCTGCGTTAAAACAGCTGGAACTGCGTTGGACCGAAATCGCTGACGCTAAAACTGTTTGTACACTGATGTCCAGAGGATACCGCATTTCACCCACCCTGATGGAAAGACTGGAAGACAAGGTGCGAGATTTGAAAACGTACACCAACCAACAGAGTAAACACAGCGTTTATGTTAACATTTCTCTTAACCTCAGTTTATACAAGGACTCGGAGGGAAATGTAATAGGAATTACAGATTCTGTTTGGTTGAAAACTGTTTTCCCTGGAGAAAGAATCAAGGATAATAAAGTTAAAAGAACTTTGATCAGATCAGAGAAGATCAGATACGTGTTCAGTAGCACAACATGTACAAATATATATCAAATAAAGATACATAAACATCACAGATGATTAGGCCAGATAAATCTGGAGTTTGGAGAGGCCAGTGTGCGAACACAGTGGCCGCTGTATCTCTTTGAAAACGTGACAACCTCTATTACCATCTTTCACATGAATTATTGATCCTGTAAGCTGAATGTGATTTCAAACCTTAATGGACTTTCTTTTCTTTTTTTCATCCATCCCTCTAACCAGGCTTTGGAGATGGCTGAGAGCATTTCATCAGATGACATTCGTAAAGTTTGCTTATCTTTGGCAGCTCAAAGCCGCAGATCTGTGCCGCTGCTCAGAGCTCTGTCTTACCATCTCCTGCTGAAGCCTTCGTCCGAGTTCACCACTCCCCTGATACTGGACGTGGCCTTTGCATACGGTATTAACACTCGTTGTTGTAAGACATCCAGTAACACAGAAGACATTTATAAATAAATGAACATTGTCTCTGTCCATGTCTCTTATGCCATTTTCTTTTTATCCTGTTTTTCACACACTATTTAAAGATTTTATATTTTTAAGTGTTCATTTTTAAAACTCCAGAGGGCGGATATACTCCAAAGAAGGCTGAGTCAATGAAAATAGTACAAAGAAAGTAATGTTGTTTTCATTCTGCCCCCATTGACAAAGAGGCATTGAAATGAAACTTTTATGTGGAAACTCAATTTTCTTCATTCATCTTTTTATATGCATACACTTTTTTTTCTGAAGCAGGATTTGTTCAACTTGATTATTCTGCTTATCATTGCTGGACCAATGAAAACTACTACTATTGCGAGTAAAACCGCTTAATTTCACGTGAAAGGTTACGACAAATGAATCCACTGTATGCTCAGTAACTCCATGTCTCTTGCTTGCAGTAACAACTTTGTCTTTGTTCCTCTCTCTAGGAAAGTTGAACTTCAACCAGTCTAAGGTATTTCAGCGGATGGCCTCAGAGTTGTTACCCAGAGTCCCTGAACTCAGCGCTGAAGAAGTCACACGCTTTGCTAAATCCCTCGGCTTCCTCAAATGTCTCCACGTGCCTTTATTTCAGGCCTTTGCTGAGGTCAGTTACACATCTTGTGCAAACACAACTTCAGTGAATTTGAAAAAAGAGCTTTATCTCATTTTAACCTTTTTATCTTTTCCATTGTTAAACTATATTGTTTCACCAGCACTACACAACAAACAGTGAGACGTACAGCACAATTCAGCTCGGTAGTCTACTCATGACCCTGGCCAACCTCGGCTTTCAGCCCAGCAACCAAGAGAAGTTTTATACCAAGGTACTGATGATACTAAATGCTCCCTTTAGCTCTTCATGCTGCTTCTTCTTCCTGCCGTAAGAGTACTCTTTATTGATGCCTTTTCTTTTTTTAAAGGTTCATTCTGCACTAGAGGACTCTCTCTCAGGTCTGAGGCCCCACTTTCAGACAGATGTAGTCTGGTCTCTCTGTGTGCTTCAACAGGCCAAGCCTCATTACCTCATTCCGCTCACACAGCAGAGTCATATTACCGAATTGTCAGGTACGACACACGAGCTGTGGCATTCCTTCTCCTTCTATGCACTGCTAAATGTTGTATTTATATAGCTGCTCCTCTTAACAGAACTTGACAGGCCAAAGGGGGGGGGGGGGGGTTGTTTTGTGTGGGGATCATAGAATACATATGACTTGTATACCTCTCTCCCTCCATACTGGCTACAGTTGTGTCCCTGGGCATTATTATCTGTGCCATTCTTTTTAACACGATCACTTAGTGAGGTTAAGGGGAAAACCTTGAAATTTAGGAAAAGGTCAATTTTGTTTAATGTTGACCTACTTATGCCCTTGGAATTCTTAGGGCAAACGTTTTCCTTCTAATATTTTCTCTATTTTCATTGTGAGGAAATGAGATAAAACAAGTGCTGGACAATACAAGACATGCAAAACGTGGAGCTAGGGGTTAGGAAAAATATTTAGAGAGTAATCAGACATAATCCAAGAAGAAATCGAACAAACAAACATTAAGAATGTCTGAGAGATGAAGGCTAAAATACTATTTTTATTTCAGTAGATGGAAGTGCAGCACCAGTAGATTTCTGCTTACTCAGGCATTATGAATTAGTTTTTTTCAGTAATCATGGATGCCTGTCAGTGTGTAGGTTCTCATTCTCTCTCTCTCTTGTATTTTTCTGTCTGTAGAGGGCAGCACAGCTCGAGTGGATAGCAATCACTTGAAGCTCCTCCACATTGCTGCCACCCTCCAATTAGAACATCCTGGCTTCTCCGATTCTCCATACTCCCAGAGTGCCCTGTCCATCCCTCCTAGAATTCCCCCCCTCTCACCGCTACAGACCAGCCTGAGGGGAGCTCTGCAGAGTTTGGTGGGTGGGGCGACAGAGGCTGTTCGCACTGGGGTCGACACTGTGTATGGATGGACACTTGGTAAGGAGATCCTTGAAGATTACAAACATTTAATACTGCTTACTGATTTTATCACTACAGTTTAACAAGACTTTTACATTGAAAACAACATTTACAACATCCCTCTTTACATTTTTTCTCATTTTTTCAAAAGATGAAAGGTGTACAACATGATGTGGTCACGTCATATTCATTTATTAAGCACATTTAAACGCGACTATGTCAACCAAATTGCTGTACAATCAAGACAGGCAGGTAGCGCAACATTACACATACAAAAGAACAAAAAAGGCAATGCAACACCCTAAGCAGAAAGAAAACACCCAAAACCCAGTTCCTCTTCATAAAGGTTTAAAGGTTCATCAGTGAGCCGGTGGCCATCACACTTGTTGATAAGTCCAACAGGTGTGTCCAGTATACGTACAGTCCTGAGGATTTCCAGGTCAAGAAAGGAAATCCGTTTGATAATAGATTAGCACTCTGAACAGGGAGGATTTACTGATCATTACATTTCAGCACAGCAAATCCTGTCATGAGAAACTGTATCAAAGATCTCTTTGTACCTCTTCATGACATAGCAATATAGATTCCAGAGAGGGAAGTGCCACATCTTAAGAGGGCAGATGGAGTCTAAAAAGAGCAGGATCCCCCAAAACTTTAGATTTGAAAACACTGTTAAGTTCATTGGAACTATACCGGAACAGAAGAAAGATATATGATATAGTTGCATTGCCAACACAAGATGAATGTCCTTCTGTTTTTTCTCTATGACATTAAAAAAGTATTTCTGATACTCTAGGCTCAATCTTGTTTCAAATAGAATTTTATGCAATGTATCTTTTTAACACCTGACATGCTCCTCTCTTATCAGAGGGTGAGCTGGTTGTGGATTGTGACAACAAACCAGTTGACATGTCGGAGCTGAAAGCCCCTCATCTACCCAGCGGAGGAGGAAACCAGCCTTTACCTGCAGGGGCTCGACGGTGAGTCATACTAGGGGAATCATGCAGGCAGGGGTTGTTAAAGATTTGTTTTGGTTTCTGTTTTGCTCTAGTTGTCTGGAATTATTTTTCAAACTGTTCCATTCATCTCTCTGTTTTTTTTTTCAGGCTGGCTGTCTTGGCTTGGGACTTTCCAAACTTTGGCTTTAAGTGTAAAGACCTTCTGGGGAGGTTCGTAATGATGAAGCGACATATCCAGCTGGCAGGCTTCATCATAGTGGAGGTAGGGAGAGGATGGAGATGGGATTAACCGTCTTTGTAGCAGTGTGGGACTGTGTTGTAGTGACTTCAAAGTAAAAGCATTTTTAAATAGTGACCAAGTTATTTTTTTCTATCTCTGTAAATAGGTTAAACCAAGCTATTTGTGGCTGAGAACAGTTTTTTTACTCCAAACTCTCTTAAGCCAGTGCAAATACAATTTTCAGAAGTGTGTTTGCTGAAATAATTCATTTTTCAATTTTTGAATATACGGAGGTAGCTCTGCTGCTCCTCTATCTGACAGTCAGAAGCTATGCAAACAGTGGACCTCATAATTGAGAGTCAGTTGGGTCCTGCTGCAGACTGAGGTATAAATAGAGCTCCAGCCACAGCCTGCCTCATCTAGGCCAATCAAAACTCTCATTCTATCTTCTAGTAGAATTCCTTGGCTGACTGTAGCATCGCTTGCCTCTCAGGTTTGCACTTCTTTAGGATGTCAAAATTAGCATAACCCTTTTATAATGTGTTTGTAAAAATATGGTTTCACAACTGTTTTCTCCTCTTATACACTTCATGAAAATGTATCCTCTAATGCAGTGGTTCTCAACTGGTGGGTTGGGACCCAAAAGTGGGTCACGGAGCCGTTTTCAGTGGGTCGCGAACATGTGACTGGAAAAAGAAAACGTGTACAAAGTCTATGAAGCGCTCTTAAAACATGCTGATTGTATTCCTTCTCTTTGTTCCGTCACATGATTGGTACCATTTGAGGTCCAAACTGCACTATTTTTCATTCAATAAATCTGATCAGAAGATTTTATTGAAGGAAGTGGTTTGGGGTCCTTTGGATGGACCAGTTAAGAACCTCTGCTCTGTGGTGATGAAATAATCACAAATCTTTCCCTTTTGTCCCACTTCAGATACCGTATTACGAGTGGCTGGAGCTGAAGACAGACTGGCAGAAACTGGCGTACCTGAAGGATAAAATCGGGAAGGCCGTGGCCGAGGACATGGCCAAGTGATCCGATCAAGTGTCAGGCAAATTTTTTTTCGCAGACTCGGCTAAATCAGAGCTTTCCCGACCAAATTGGACGACAGGGAATACACACATCCACCCACGCTCACACTTAAAGCGGAGCGGCATTGCAGAAAAGCTCTCTCATACTTTGTCAGGAAAATATACCGACATATTTTTGCTCCGGTTCCCTTGGCAACGTGTGGGGCTTTCCCTGTTTCCATGGTAATGATGAGCGAGGGTTTTTGAGGCAGAGAGAGAGACAGAAATAAACACTAGTCCTTCTGTAGAAATGATATGATCTACCAAGAGTGACTTATCAAAACAGAAGCTCTATGTTTAATATCAGCATGTATAGATGAAAGTAACTTAATTACCTCTGTGAATGTGTGTCATCGTGTGATGGAATAAACTATTTTATTGCCATTTTTACTTGTTTTTATTTTTAAAAGATTCAGTGTATGCCTTATGGGTGGATCACTTTTTTTTGAGCCTATACCGTCAGGCATGTTGCACTTGAAAATCATTGGTGTGGTATTCAGACGGCATATGTTTCATTTCACATCTATCAGTTAATGGTGCTTCCCTCTAACATACTGGTGTTTGTGGGTGCATCGTTATTTTTAGACATTTATTTGAGCAGAGTGCTACAGGTCTGAGGAGAAGTCTTCACATAGCTTGCTCAATGTGAAAAGGTTTTTCAAATATTAAAGTAATTAATTTACTTTTAAATTGCTCAAATATGGTGTGCAATATTCAAAAAGAGGCATCAAACTCACCACATGTAGTAAGTATGCACAGTGAATAAAAAAATGCATTCATTTGATACGTTTATTTTCTTCAACAGATTTGTATAATTTTTCCAAGTCCTTCTTAATCTATGTTTACATTAATGTGCATGTTAAGAGTAACAGCATTGTTATAAGAAGACAGTATGTGTAGGATTCTCAGATAAACACATTGCTGACCTGAGAGTGCTTGCACAAACAGTAAGGGCAGAGGCGGCACACTGAGTGGCAGAGAGAAGACATCTGAAGACTGCAGGCAAAAGAAGAGGAGACAAGGAGACAAGAGGGACCAAAGGATGATACAAAGCCAATAACGTGGCGAATAACGGGCAACAGGAAAGATGAGTGATGAATCACAAGATCCACAATCACGCTGCTCACTCGGGTTTTCCAATATTTTGAGGCTTTGAAAAGATCGATTGATGGACTTGAGAGAGAGCTCAGCTTGCACATCAAGTATTGAACCCTTTGGTCATAATATCCCATGAATGATGTGTTACAAGTGTGCAGGTGCAACCATTGTGTTAGGGGAAAGCTCATGATCTGAACATGAGGACATTAATCCATGAAAATGCAAGTTTCCTTCTTAATGCAAATCAAACCGTAGCCTAATTGCTACCCAAATGCATCAAATAAACATGATAAGAGCATGTTAGAGACAGTGATGGTAAATCATATTATTTCAGCTCTGCCTGATATCTTTAAAAAGCTGCAGAGCAAAGTACACAAACAGGTTTAAGCTGCTGATTTATCAACAGCTATATCTGTTGAGGTCACCCAGATTGCACTGAGGCTATAAGGGCATTATCCACTAAAGTGGTAATCACTTCTGCTGAGCTGGCACATCCATCAGGGCAAGTTTTGGGTTACCATGGAAACTACCCTGGCTGATCACTTGTCTCATTGCTGCCGCCCCCTCCATGTCCTTCTATTTCTATTTTTCCCTCACTTATTGTGTTGAAAGTGAAGAAATAGAGGGATAGAGAGCAAAGAGGAGAGCAAAACCGATGCAATAGCTGCCCTTGGGGGTGGGGTGGGGTCTCCATGTTGGGAAAACAATCAGAGCAGAGGCAGAGGGTATAGCACAGGTACACTTTAAGGTTTTGTTCATGCCTCTTTGATTGTCTGATTCTACTGGCTTCCTGTTTGTTTCGCTGTATTTGAGCGAATTTCTCCACCTTCCTCTTGTTTTTGCAGTACTGGTCCTTCCCTTCAAGGTTGAGGGCAGCACTGAGACAACAGTGGAAATTTGCTGACATCATCTCCCAAGATCCAGTCATTGCTTGGATGAGAGAGGAAGGAAGGGAGGGGGGTCATGGAGGATGAGGATGGAGGAAAGCAGGAACTGGGCATCAAGAGAGAATACTGCAGCTCCTCTCAGATTCTAAACACACACACATACACACACACACACACACACACACACACACACACACACACACAGACTCTCATATGCAAATGAAGTGGATCATAAGGCTCTGAAAACACACGCCCACAACAGCAGCATCACTGCGCTGCACCACAGAGAGGGACCAGGGAGAGCACACTCCCATCTCTCTTCCTCTCTGTCTCATACGAGCACATACACACACATAGGCAGACACGTGCTGCAGGAAAGATCTGAGTGTTGGGTCGCTGAGCATTCAGGTCCCCCCTCCCCCTACTCCTCCTTCTTCTTCTTCGCTCTCACTCTCTCACTCCCTCGCTCCCTGTTCACCTTGTCTGTTCCGGCTGTATGGTTTATTGTTGCGTCAGAGCCAGCGAGAAGCATGCCGGGGGAGAGCGCACACAGATCTGTCCCCACCGACAAACATCCAGAGCCAGGGGCTGAGGAGACAGGGCTCCCTGGACCAGGTAGGACCTCTGGGGTTTGGGATTGAAGAGGGTTGATTTGATGGAAGATAGAGACCAGGAGATAATCAAGAAAATATGGGGGGGGGGTGTAGAGCAGGTTGATTGCATTAGAAAGATTAGGATATAAGAGGAGAAAAGGGGAGAATCAGAAGGTTATAAAGAATGGCAAACATAGAAAAGGGAAACAAAGAAAGTGTGACACGATCTGCTTGAAACTTCAATGTTTTGAACAGTCAGTTTAGTGCTGGGTCATTTCTGTCTGTCATTTCTGTTGACATGTGCAGTCTGAGTAAGCTGTGATTCAGCTGCATGTTTGCATTCTTACTTAACTGCTTGCTGAATCCCCCTTCCAGCTCCCAAATTTAAGAAACCTCCCGCAAACCATCAACCATCAACCATCAACCTTATCCCTCCTTATACTATAAACCTAATTTAAATCCTTTGTGTTACTGCCCTCTGTCACCTTACCCCACCCTAACCCTGACCTCCTTACCAGCTTCACTCCTTACCATGCTGCTATCTCCAGCCCTGTTGCAGCCCCATTTACATCCACATCCCTTTAGCAATTCTACAAGAAGTGTGGAGTGGCTACTCCCTCCCCCCGCAAGCCTCAGAAGGAACATGACACAGCAGCATGGCAGCTATCTCAGAAACACGCAAACACATCCTACTAGTGTTATTGTTGCAATTTGTTCTACACTGCTGCTTTACATATAAAGATGTTGTATGAAGACTTGAGATAAGTTATTAAACAGAAGTAACAAAAAGGAGAGAGAGAGAGATAGGCTTAGTGTTGGGATAGTGTGAATGAGTGATTGGGGAGAGTCAACATTTTATTTTTGTCCCCTTGCAGTCAGGCAATAATGAACAGAGTGAGAAAGTTGTCACTGACAGTTATTGCACACAATGTAGTCTTTAATAAGTACGGTACAGTACACTGCACAGTGTTGTAACAGTCATGACGGTTAATAATAATGGCTTTGAGGAAAAGTCTCTGGCTCCTCCTTGAAAATTGCCATTTCTTTAGCTCATCTTTGCCCCAGTCTGTTCTTAGGCCTGAATTTATTTTAAGCTTTCTTGGCCTAAATCTAGGTAGAAGAGGGAGGATTGAAAATGACAAGATGCTAACTTGTATTCTGGCACTAGCATGATGAGAAAAGAGAGATAATGGAGCTGAATGTCATGAAAAATACGAGGTAGATGTATAAAAAAACAAACGGATGAGACTTTTGGGGTGCTCCCATTTAACAGCTCATTCTGAGCTGAAACTGAAGCCCCCCCACGGGCTGACAGGCCAGTGCTGCAGCCTCTGTGACGCAGCTTCAGTCTGCTAAGCTTAATGCGGCCTTTTCCTGCCTTACCTAGCCCGGTGCTTGATTTCAATGTATTCCCCCAGAGGAGACTTGCAGGCTGAGTGAGGAGAGGGAAAGAGAGGCAGACATTCACAGATGATTTTCAGCACTGAATCTGCAGCTGGGGGGATGGACTGGCAGTTATGCTAGCAGAAACTAAACATGTCAATGGGTTATTTAGCAGCCTAGCAAAACAGTAGTTGCAATATTATGCTTAGTTATTATTTCTTACATGTGATGCCAATGCTTAGCATACAATGACAGAATGAGAGACACAATTCTGAGCTAAATGCTTGAGTTTATATATGTTTGTGCACCGAGTTACTGATGCTAGCTGCCTTTTTATATAGAGGAAACAATTGAAATCAATTGTGCTGTATCAATTAGGCTACCCACCTGACTCTGTTTTACACAGACAAAGCAGTAGTTGGCTTTTGTGCTTGATTAACTGTGCATCTTTCTGATTAGTGGCAGGTTTTATCCCATGAGGCATGACTCAGCATACACAAACACACCTAGAGCGTATTTTTTGGGGCACTGATCATGCAGGACTACAAAGTGCTGATGACTGCATCCACCACAACCACCACAGGCAGTGCAGGAAAGCAATGAGGAAGGAGAAGCACAGGAGATATATTTGGTAAAAAAATAAACAAAACATGAAGGACAGGAGAAGAGACAGAGAGTCACAACATTAGGTGGAAAGAGGGGGAGAGGGGAATTTGATAGAGAAATATTTACTGAACATTTTTAGGGAGTGACCCAAAGGAGAAGTTACAGAACAGAAAGTGATGTGAATTAGCAAGTAAGTGATATCTGGGTTCCTGGAAGAGTAAGTGTCTATTCGTGTGTGTGTGTGTGTGTGTGTGTGTGTGTGTGTGTGTGTGTGTGTGTGTGTGTGTGTGTGTGTGTGTGTGTGTGTGTGTGTGTGTGTGTTTGTGGCTGGCACTGAGCTGAGCCAATTGTGTGTTATAATGGCCAATCATCATGTGGATTGAGGTCACTCTGGCAATGTCCCAGATAAGAGAGCAAACGAAGGTTCTGTTCCTTCTCTTGGTGTCCATATAGAACTAAGTGTACACCCCCACCCCACCCTTTGGCAGTATTTAAAAATATGTATGGTTTTATGTTATGGTAATTAATTCTTCATACCAAAATTATTAAGTAGAGTAACTGAAAACGGG